ATTTCACAACTTGTACAAGCAAATGCCATTTAAATTTAAAACTCAAATATCCAGCAGCTAGAACAAATGAAAAAGCTCTTCCAGATCTTTTGAACAACGAACACTTCCCAAAACAGAAGCGGCATTTCCGCGCTGAATTTCAACACTTATACGCTGCCACAAAAATTCCAGAGCGCGCGCTTCCCCTGTTTGTTCTTTTATACGTCGACCAACTTCGCTGACGAAATGCGGCGGGTACTGACGCCGCAAGTTCCGGTTGTTTCGAATGACAGGGGTTGAAAGAAATAGCGATCAGTCAGTTCTTCGCAATTGCGCCTAATGTTTAAGCTGTTCAGTACATGAAAACGAGAGGCGCTAAAAACTTATTATTATGCAGTTTTCTCGATTGGACTTGCAGCAGCGGACATGGAAAGTTTTTTTAGAATGCGCAACACGATTAATGACAATAGTGACTGATTCGATAACTTTACTTCCGCTTTACCGCATACACAAAATGCACTCAGCAGGCGAACGAACAGTTCGCATGGCCGATCTCGGTCGGCATCCGGTAAGTACCGCGTGCATGTTTTTTTGACTACCGTATGTAGTCTGTTCTAATTACACCCCGGGGAAACTTTGTGAACAAGCGATTATTTTGTTGTGTCTACTTGTGCATATAATTGCAGAGGAATAAGTACTGGCTTTGCTTCCGGTGTTCTTTACCCTATAAGAAAAACGTACAGTTGTGAGGACCTGGGAAGCGTGTTGTTTGAGCGCGATTCTGTTGAACGTTGCAAGATGGTACTGTGTTGTCGGATACGACTCACTGTAAAAAAAGGTGCCAAGTTGACTCGACAACACAGTAAATACTCGTGCACGAAGGTTTGTTACGCTGCCTTGTTTTTCCTCGCACACCTTAGCGATGTGGCTGATCTGTATTTGACGCAAGCAGCGTATATAACGCCAGCTCCTACAAGTACCACTTCCTCGTATTCTACTACATGTGCTCCTCCTACATGTCCCCCCGCACCTAAGGAATGATGCTGCAGCCTCATGATGAGCAATCCGACATCGTGTTTATTACGTTGCTGCAGCCGTTTCACTGCGCAGGACTGCATTGGACCCACTCCTGCCCCGTGCGACTGCGGTGTCGCCGAAACGTGCGGTATTGTGGGCCCGCGCTGCTGCAAGACCACCGATTCCTTTACAAATCCTTGCGACGGAGCGTGCTGCTGCATCCCGTCGTGCTCATTTTCGTCCAGCACCACGGCACCAACGCCCGCATCGTACCGTTACGCATTATAATTTATAATGCAACTTGACTTGCAACGCTGTTTTTTTTACGCGGCTGATATGTAGAGGGGAAAACCATGTCAGTCGAACCAATTCACGGCACTGCTGCCGTCACCCGGCTGGAATGTGACGTTACGGCAGTACATGCGGCTAAATCAGGCGCGGTACATAAGCTCCATGTTTAGCCACAACGTAAAACTGCAGCCGGCTGACGGCAGCAGTACAAAGGATTGGTTCGGCTAGACACATTTTTCCCCCTATATAATACAAAAGGTGAAACCGCTTTTCAGTTTTCTGGAATTTAATAAGTATGCAGCACTTGTAACGTGGGGCCTTATGGGCGCCCACGTACCTTCGACGGCGAAACAGCGGCGAACCCGGATTGAGGCTTTAATGCCGAAATCTAAGGTGCGCACCGTGGCGCAGCAAACACCGACTAATGAGATCGGATCCTACAGCCAGCGCAGCTGTGCTGTAGGTCCGTCAAAACAGCAGCAATGTGTGGGATGGAAATCCCCAGAACAGCAAAACACAATGGCGAATGGCCAATCATGAAGGCGGAGCTATCGGCCTTCACACACTGTGCGCAGATAGTGCAAATGACAGCTGTTACCCAGGTGAATTCTTACAAGCGAAACAACTGTAACAGAGGGTAGCAACCTGTTCATTAAAGATGTAACAGAAGATTCTGCTATGAGGCAGCATGTGATAATTCGTCACGTAATACAGTACCTATACATCGGTAGAAATGATTCTAACAGAAACTTAAATTTATATAAGCATAAAACAGATGAAAATACCCGGAGAGGGTGAGTACAAGTATCGCTCGGCACGGAACCAACATTCAACCAGAATCCTGAAACAATCATGCAAAACCTACAAGTGAGAACCATGTGACCTAATCCAGTCCATCATTTGTCCGCTGCTTAAGCCCAGCTCCATACAACCCCTCCGATATCGTTGGCCTTGATGGTCCACGGTGTAGACATCCTTCTTGTGTGCCACCAGTGTCACGGTCAGATAACGACGGGAAAAAATGGGCGTCTTGATTTCATTCCCGAGTTGTAAGATTTCCGCGGCACGGGCAATCTGATGGGGCTTACAATGCTGTGTGCTTCGTCCTCCGTCCCGCGACACACTGACCTCCGATCCGCAGATCCCCATCACCACGGCCGGATACCAGTAGTGGTTGGTGTCACTCTCCACAAACACCCCTTCCAGGCGCGCGAGCTGCGCATAGCCCCGGGGAATGCGGATAACCGATCCGGTGCGGTGTTCTGTCGGAAAGGGAAGCTCATGGAGCTTGCTGCTGGCATGGCGGAACTGGTAAATGTCGAGGAGTTCTTTTTCCAACAGCAGCTTGCTCTGGGCAGAATACAGATGATTTTAAGAGTGTTAAATAGCCGCACGCATTTAAACGAATCGTTGAAAAAAATAAGTGGGCGCTAGCGAATTGCATATGCAGTTAGGGCTTACTTTGACCGGGCCATCGGCCAATTCGGTATCACTCAACAGGGGAAAGCGCACAAGGTACAACGCGTCGCCCAGCATCTGGCGCCGGTTGGCCTGGGACGGCTCCAGATTCTCCCGATTACAAGCCGCCACGGACCACCTGTATAAAACGAAAAAAAAATTTGCAGTCTGGTTAAAAATTCAGGTTAACGATGTACGGTACTATACTTCTCCACAACCGTATACAAGCTGTCCTCATCAATCGACAAGGTGCTACGTTGCACAATTGTCTTCAGTGTCTCCTGCGCAATTGTGAGGAAATCGGCCGACTGCAGAGCCGTTCGACTGAATTTGTCCACGAGTTCCAAGCATTGTCCCTCCAGGAAAGCGACGCAATCGTGAACACAGCGCTTAATCTACAATTAACCTTCAATTTGCACTTTGTGATTTGAAGAAAAAATGCTAACCTTATCGACTGGTACACCTTATTGACATGTATCTGCTTACGTTATCGAGGTACACCACACAGTTGACGGCACTCAGATCTGTCCTGACGAAACTCAAGCACTGGGCGGTCAGCCCCGGCAAATTGTACTTGTCGGCACAGTGAATGGTCTCGAACACATTATCCGTCTTCAATCCATTATTCACAGAACCAGTGTAGATGTATCTGCAACAAATATTCACTTGCACATTTGATTGGCTTTGAAGGCGCACATTAAACAATAAAAGCTGAAAAAAAAAACAGCCAGCTTCGGCTCGGCTAATTGTCGCCCAGGCCGCACATGCCCGCAACCGGTCTCAAAGGTGCCGCGGATCAAAGCAGTCGCAGCCCAAAACAACTGAAATCAGTTTCTCAGATTCTGCATCACGAATGACTTTCTAGACGAATGGAGGGCTACACTTACTTAAGCATGTTACCAAAGGCGTCTGGCAGGATCTCTGGAATCTCCACGGGTTCATGACCGTCTTTGTACTTGCATAGTGTGCGAAGCACATCGCTGCCACGCATGCCAAGGATAAACCTATAACGACCAAAAACCGGGTTCCATGCGGCATGACACTAACTAAATCAAGTAAGTTGTACGTACTGATGAGCCGAAAACATGTTAACTTCACCAAGTTCGCGGCCCACGGCGAACTTCACATCGCTCTTTTCACCGCTGGCCAGGATCTCACGGCGGAGATCTGCACTTTCCTTAACTGCGCACTCCCATTCGGCCGAGGCTTCAGCATCTGGCACTGGTTTGGCCATGGCAGAATAATTCTGGCCGTAGATTGATCGTGATCGTAAAAACTTACCAAATACGTACACTTAAGAATTATGGAAATGATTTGATGTAGGCGTGCAACACTATGACACAAAGTGGGAGAAGCGAACTAATTCCTACTGAGTCAGGTCAACGAAAGGCCGATTTCACGTACGTACTAATTTTGCTACTGCTCGATCGGCCATGGGATCACTGCCATGCTGCGGTTTGCAACCCTGCCTGAGTCTTCGAGCCTGAGTCGTAAGTTGGAGTGTGAGTAAAAACTCAAATAATTCTGAGTACGTGTACCGTACTTGTATCATAATCAGAATCTGTACTCTGTACTGAAAGTTCGAAGCAATTATTTTGTACTACACTTTACAGTACAGTACTTAGTACTGGTGCGCCGTTCCCGGCTGCGGAAATGAAACTAGCATCAAAAGCCACTCAGACAGTACTGCAACAATGTCCGAAACTGCTATCAGACTGTTTGTGGCTGGTGGTGATGTGGTTACATTAATTTTGGCTATGGAGATTGCTTATTATTTTTTAAATGCCTTATCGTTGTGCAGATCGCTATCCCGGCAGTACCGCAGTAATACCTTGTCTGCCTGCAGGTTTTACCAAATACCAAGCGTAGTTAAAAGTGCTACACCACGGCGCTGCATATCTGACAAGTGCCAGGCCAGCCATGTTGATTTTAAAAATCGCACCAAAACCGTACAAAAACTAAAACGCATAGTCTCATAATGTCCATTGTACAGAGTATATCAACAAAAAGGGCAGCAATTTCACGGGTTCGAGTTAGACAGTAAAAGAATTTTCTTCTATACGCCTCATACAACCACAAAGATGTAGCTAACAGAAACATCAAACCGTAAAAACTGAAATTTAAGCCGAGAAGGAGTACACTTCTTCAGAAGTCAACCATTTACAGTCTACCGCAGATAAATCAAGGGCACCCGTACGCGGGAAGGAACATGATCGTCGCGTCCCTATCGCAACAACAATGCATTATCCAGACAACTAACAATAGAAACACGTGCAGTTGGCCTTCTTCCAGGACTTCATCTGGTCCTGACCGATACGCAGCTGCCGCAGCTGGATTTCATGGTATTTGTGATCGACTTCCACAGTGTAATGATTGTTCCAGATTGTACGCAAGGTAGCGGTGACATAACGGCGTCCCACGCGAGCCTTGATCTCCTGTCCAGTTTTCAGGACATCCGCAGCACGAACGATCTTGTACGGCCGGCAGTGTAGCATGGTTTGTTTGCCTGTTCGCATTACGCTGATTTCCGCTCCCCGGATTCCTTTAACCACGGCGGGATACCAAAGCTCGCCTTGACCACAGTCCACAAACACCTGTTCCCCGTTGGTGAATTCCACATCGCCTTTCGAGAGGCGCAGAACCGAGCCGCTGCGGTGTTGGGTAGGGAAAGGGAGTTGTGGGCGATAATTGGAAGGTTTGTACTGGTAATGTTTGTACCGGTAAAGGTCCGCAACTTCACTTTCCAGCAGCAGACCACTCTAATAAATACAGACAGGCGGTTTCAAAGGCTGGGAGCGTGGTATTACAAGTAAGATATAATGCATCATTCCCTTCCTGTTTGACTACGTCGCAGTTCTCAAAAACTGGATGCTTTTTCTTGACATGTAAAACAACTGGTCCCAGGCACAATATTGACCAAGATTACGTTAGCCGAACGCAGTGTTCTGTATCCCTGCTCTTTTATTCATTTCAGCGAGTAGACATCAAGGCGGGTAAATACTGTACATAGTGGCCGAACGATATCCAGTTTACTGTGAAGCAGGCGTGACCGATTAGTAGCGTGTGCACTAATCTCTATTTGGTATAGTTTGTCTTTGTTGAAGCATCGAGCGCCGACGACTGACCACCAAGACTAGTAAAAAATCAATTACGCTTGCTTTACGGTAAATTTGGTTCTATTCTTCAAGCTGACCACAACTCAATGCCGGTTAACCATTTTAGTAAACTGGTTTGTGTGTGACGTGCAGCGCACAAGATCTCACTGTGACGTATTGTATGAGCAAAGAAACCTGGTTGCCCAGCTTGCCGGTGAGATTAACATGTTAGTCGGCAGGAGAAGATCATCCTATACTGTACTCCGAACGCTCTTGTAAGACCTACTTGAACGGGTCCGTTAGCCAGTTGCGCATCCGTCAGCAGAGGGAAGCGGACGCAGAACAGTGCATCACCCAGAACTGTACGCCGGTTGGCTTGGGTTGGCTCCAAATTCTCTTGAGCGCACTGCGCCACTGCCCACCTACAAGAATGGGCAGTTTACAACCGGAATGCGTGGCTGCAGTTTCCAACACGCCATTAACCGAGCAATGTACGTACTTTTCCACAGCGGAGCAGACGATTTCCTCGCCAGCGGAAAGTGTTCCGCGTTGGACAATCGCTTTCAGTACGTCCTGGCCGATTGCGCTAAACTGGTCCGATTCCAAAACATTTCTACTAAATTTGTCGGCAAACTCCAGACATTTCGTCTCGATGGCGGCGGCGCGGTCTGGCTGTATGCACGCACATCGCTTGACCTAGTGAAGCGTAAACGTTATAAGGTAAAGGCTCATGAACAACGCATCAGAGTGCTGCTGTCGTAAACATACCTTCTCCAAGTAAATCAGGCAGGTGTGGGCGTTGAGTGCAAATAGCTTGTTGTTGATGAAATTTGAGCACAGGTCGCCCAGCATCGGTAGATCATATTTGTCAGCGCAGTATATGGTCTCGAAGATGTTATTAACCTTCAGATCATCAGTGGCATCCACAGAGCCAGTGTACATATACCTGCAAGCAATTTATTATTAACAATTTTGCACTCGCACGCTTTCGTTGTAATATTCAGCGAAAACAGTTCGTCGCGTAATGGGTACGCAACAGCACAGAACACTTACTTTAACATATTACTGAACGCCTCTGGCAAGATTTCCGGGACATCGATGGGCTGCTCACCGCTTTCCTTCCAGTTTCCGTTGAACATGGTACGAAAAACCGTACTATTGAGGCTTAGCACGAATCTGCAAAGGCAGAAGTGACAACTTTGCTCATGGACACTCAGCGTCAGCGTTGACAGAACCGTTTCGAGCATTTGTAGCTTACTTATGAGCTGGGAAGATCTTGGCTTCACCAAGCTGGCGACCAACGGCAAACCGCACATCACTCATCTCGCCGCTGGCCAAGATGTGCTTGTGCAGACCGAGAATACCATCAGCGGTCCGTTGCCAGTCCGATGCTGTTGCAGTGGCGGTAGAAGTGTGCGACATAGTTGCGCTATTGGGTCCGAATCTGAAATGGCAGATGGAGATGCTTCACCTTTCACACTGTTCACACTTCACAGCGTACCCAGTTATGGCTACTTTTTTTAAGAAAGCGTGAAGCGTAAACTTTTAAAGAGCTACGAAGCGGTTAATTAGTAATTTAGTAAAATTAGTAAAACAGTCGGTGGCTTAATTAGTAAAATAGTCCAGCGCACTTCGATTCCATCGTGGATCCAGCCTAACAAGTGACAGCCAGTACGGCAAACCTGAAACCAGAGCTGTCAAGCGTCGATCTGGATTCTGCACGTGGCTGAACAGGCTCTGGCTCTGACATGACAAGCACGCGGAAACACGCATAACACGGGTGTAGCAATGCGTCACCGCAGTGACGCTTTCATTTGTCATGAGTCACATCTACAGTTTAGGGTTATACGCACTCAGCGCCACTCAACAGCACGTGATTACTGGTTTTGACTATGTACTTCTCGTCGGCGGTTATGGTTAATCACGACAGTTACTCGAACGTGCAGCAACGTACGTACGTAGTGTAACTGGCGATTCCGATTTGGGTTAGCTAACAAGTAAGTAGAACATTCCCGAATTTAGTGTTTGTGAATACTCTCAAGATGACCTTTATCAATAATAGAACAGCCAGATACATAGATTTTAAAAACCTGCCGCAGCCACAGGTACGAGCACGTAGAAACATATTTCACCTACTGTACTACAGTAATCGGAATCGTGTACCTAGTGGGATCGCCTACGAGTACGAACCTTTCAAAAGTGTTCGCTGTATCTTCTGTATGCAAAATGGGAAGGTTCAATATTCGCCGCAGCTGATGGTTTCCCACTTTGGGGTGCCTCCAGGATCACTCTGACTCTGTGTTGTGTTTTTCAAAGGTCAAGTTTACAGAGTAGGTAATTTTAAAAAAAGGTAATTTTTAATAATTTAAATTTAAAAAGGTAATTTTTAATAATTTTTAAGTAGGTAATTTTTAAGGTCAGCGATTTTTAACCACCTTCTGACGTTTGGTAATTTTCACTCAGTTTTCGCATGAAAGAATCGTTTATCAAAGAAGACGGACCAACAGCATAGGAAAAAAAAACTAAAACCGACTAAACGTCCCATTTCTGGAAGACAGAGAACCTTCTTTTCGTTTCGGTCGACCGTTATTAAATAACGGTCTCCGAGCGATGCTTTGCTGTGTGCAACCAATACAAACCAACGAAAAACAGAACTCATTCACTGCGCAGATAAAGCTTTCAATGATCATACGATTTGGGCGTCGTTTAAAAAAAAGGAGAACTGCTAAATTTCTTGGTTCGACCCGTCCAGATACCGAAAAAAAAACAAAAGACTCAATTCGTCCACTTTCTAGAAAACCCAAGAATTCCAATAAATCGTACTTATTCTACCTGACACCCGCAACGTTTACAGCGCATAAATGAGAATTATCAACACACGAATTACGTAAATTTCAGGCCATGAAACCCGAGCCCAACATCCAGGCCATTTACGCTAATAAGAAGATCGGTTGGCTTTTTTCCACGCTTCCATCTGATCCCGACCAATGCGCAGCTGATCGAACTTTCTCGAGTAGAGAGTGCCTTTGACTTTCACCCAGTAGATATTGTCTAGCTGGGTGCGCAACGTAGCGATCACGGGCCGACGTGTCTCGAGAGCCATGATTTCCTGTCCAAATTTCAAGAGACTCGCAGCCCGCACAATCTGATGCAGCGCACACTCGACCAGGGTTTGTTGTTCTTTGTCCTTGCGCAAAGCAACAAACCATGGTCCACTCGTTCCCGTCACCACGGCCGGGTACCACCACTGCGTATCCCCCGTGTCAACGAAGACCTTCTCCCCGTTACGGAATTCCACATCGCTGCGAGAGATGCGCAGAAGCGAACCGGTGCGGTATTTCGTGGGGAATGGCAGCTCTGGCTGGAGCGATGAATGCTTGTGCCGGTAAAGGTCCGCTATCTCACTATCCAGCAGCAGCTGACTCTAATGCACAAGATAGGGATAGATTAGTTATTTTGCTATTCTGCCGTACTTTTCTATATTTTAGTGCTTTATGCATTTTGTTTCACAAGTACATTTTCTCTTTGGAAGTCTGTTATACCATCCGGCCTCCACTCAAAACGTCCGACCAGAGGCTCTCATGCCAGTGGAATTATGTACGTATGGAAATCATTTAGGTACACAGTGTCATAAAGATGCAAAAAAGTCGTGGCGAGTGCTGGAAATTTTACGTCTACTTGCATGTACATGAATTTGGTACCATATCCCGGGTCATTTCCAAATTTAGCGCCATCCTTACTTTGACGGGACCGGCGCCCAGTTCGCCATCGGTCATCAGGGGAAACCGAACAAAGTTTAAGGTTTTTCCCAACACCGCACGCCGGTTGTCTTGGGAAGGCTTAAGGTCCTTCCGGATGCATGCCTTTTCAGCCCAACTGCAAGGATACTATTTTCTCGGTCTGGGCTCCACTTTCTCATAAACCGCTCTATTGCACCCTTTCAGAATAACTTAAAGAATTGATGCTGCATGGTTTGCAAAAAAACAATAAAACCCGAGAGAGAGATTGATAAAACATGGTAACCTACTTCTCCACCGCCGCGTAAACGATGTCCTCAGCAGCCGACAAAGTGTCGCGCCGCAAAATGTCCATCAGCGTTTCTTGGCTGATTTCGCTGAATTGGTCCGATTTCAAAACATCTTGGCTGTTTTCATCCACAAATTTCAGGCATATTTCCAGAATCCTTGCAGAGCGATCGCGTAAAGAGGCGCAACGCTTCATCTAATGGAAGCCACATAAACCGTTTTACATGTAACATACAGAACCGAAAGCAAAGGTTGGAGTGCTGAATCAAATTTGACCTACTTTCTCCATATAAACGAGGCAGCTGTCGGCGTTCAGCTGGTCCAGCGTAGTGCTGAGGAATCTGGCACACAACTCGCTTAACATTGGCAGGTCATACTTATCGGCGCAGTAAATGGTTTCGAAAATGTTCTCAGCCTTCAGACCACCATTTTCCTCCAGAGAGCCAGTGTAGATATACCTGCATAGCGCACACGGGCTAAGTTTTAGCATCTCTCAGTGTTAGATGGCACAGTAACAACCAATAAGTTTTAACGGTTTAACCACGCAGAACCGTAAGCGTGTCTAACCTCTTCGTGTTTCGCAAATACTGTTTCGTAAAACGGTAAACCTGTTGGCACAGCTAGCACGTACTTCAACATGTTCCTGAAGGCGTCTGGCAAGATTTCCGGGACATCAATGGGCTTCTGCCCGTTTTCCGGTAAACTTCCGTGGAACATGGTGTGGAATACCGTACTGCTGAGGCTCAAAACAAATCTATAATGTCCAAACGACGACTCAGCTCGCGCACAGGCTGATTGACACGAACCACACATCGATCAGCTTACTTGTGAGCGGGGAAGACCTCGGCCTTGCCGTGCTGGCGCCCCACGGCGAACCGCACATCGCTCATCTCGCCACTAGCCAAGATGTGCTTATGCAGAGCAATAATCCCGGTAGCGGACCTTCGCCAGTCCGATGGTGCTGCCGAATTTTGCGACATAATTGCAGGCGACTGAGTTAGCATCCACGGTATCAAATGTATTATGAAGCTCCACAAATCGTGGTTGATTTTATGCAGAAAAATGTGCAAACACAATCTTCAGATTATAGCAAGTACAAAGAAAATTAGCACAAATTTACAAAATGTGTTTTTACTCCAGCGAAAACCGATAACTACGTAACTCAGTATAACACCAGCACAGTTGACCTGCATTCTTTTTGCAGCTCAGCTATGGCATGTGACCCGCGCTACAACGCCAAACTCACTACGAGAGTCGCCACACTACCTTACCGTAATCCGTATCACGTATTCACGGACCGTGAGTCACCAACCGACCAACGTGCAATCAAAGCTGCCCCGCACTAAACAGTACCAAGTCCTGTTCAGTACATTTTTCAAACTTTTTTAATCGCATAAATGATAATTTTATTTAGGGCAATTTCTGGATTTAGGAATAGTTAATGTATTACAGTAATACTAACTAAACACTTATCTTACAGAATCGGCAGTCCCAGTGCCAACCGCCCCATTCCGCAGCAGGGTGAGTATTCGTCTCACCTGGTTAAGAATCCTGTTATGCGGCACTAACTACTAGTATGTATTGAGCACATTTGGTGCGAGTAGTTTCGTTGCGGTTTTTATGATGTGGAATGTGGATCAGTTTCGGATAGACACCTGTCAGTCTGTCATACCACTAAGTTACTAACACTGTTTGCAATTAGTTGCACTTCTTTCCCATCTTGCTTATATAATCTCGTACTTATGCTATAAGGATCATGCGGTCGAACCCACAGCATTCCGAACGAAATTCCTGATTTGCTTTTGGTAGGCCTTTGGCGTAACTAAACATACCGCCTACACAGTTCTGCCTGTGATATCTTATTCCGTGAAATTATATCAGTCACAGCGAACTACCCGAACAATTTCGAGTCACGAGTCCAATCGTTGCCATGATTATTTGCGGAGACAAGGTGCGTGCGTGGAATGCAGTGGACGTTCTGGTCGACGGCCAGTGGCAGCACGCCGGCAAAGTCGTCAATTTAACGGAGAGCGGCCTGATTATTGATTTCGGGTGCGCTACACAGCGGGCGCAGCCGGTCCAATATGGGGAGATCCTTAACGGCATATACAGCGGGATTGTGGACCGTGACTGGTGCGCTGCCGGTGATGATGTGGTGGTGCTATTGCGCGGTTCCTCCGACGGCGCTTGGACCTGGTACCCGGGAAAAATTATCTCCCTAGATGCCCACTACCCTGAAAAGTTTTTTTTCGTGGAAGTGCAGCTGCCACACGGTATCCTGAAGGAGCTGGTTCCTTGCCAGCAAGTGCGTTCACCGCCGTCGGGCGATGAGCTCGTGCGACGACAGATCGCGAAGGGGCACTTCGTTGTCCGCAGCTTCCCGTTGCCCGTATCCTACCGGTCGGACGGGTCATCAAACCTTACACAGATGTTTAAGCGGAACTTATACAAGGGGCGACATGTGATCTGCACTTCGCTGCTGAACCATACGCTCCATTACTTGCAGTGCCACGAAAAAACGCCCCTCGAAAAGCTGGAGGTGGTAAGTCATATACTGCAAGATTACTGAGACGCTTACAGTTGACAGTTTGTATCCCGGAAATTGAATAACCTACCGTAGAGGACGATTTAGCTAAATGCTGTTTGGACGTCTTGACGGGTCGGTAATATTATCGTGTCTGTTCGACTTAGTGACGGTCGACAAATCTTCGTCGGCGAAATGGCGAGTTACCGAAGGTTTGGTGTTTGAGATAAAAAAACATAACATAAGAAATAACATAAAAAATACATGAAAATGAAATAAAATAAGCAAAGTAATAAAAAAACGTGTTCGTAATCGAACATCGTATTCCTGTAGCAGATGGAGTACTACTCTGCCAAAAAGGAAGCGGTCGGCAGCGGCAGTCAAGATGCGAGTTAGCCACCCAGTAAAAAGCGCAAAATCGTTGACAACGAGGCTGTCTTGAGGTTACCTATTGAGCTGCTGGTGGAAGTCTTCCAGTCACTTGACTCCATCGAACGTATACGCTGTCGACTTTTTTTTTTTTTTTTTTTTTTTTTTGTTTTGGGTTACTATTGTTTCGGGACACATAAATTAACTTTTTTTTACACTTTAAGAAATGATTTTTTGCGGTAACACCGTAACGGCATGATCTGTACAATACATTACTCCCGTTTAGCTAGCTTAAAAGCAAAAAACACATTCTCGTTGTCAACCATGTCGTTAAACGTTCCAAGAACAGAGACAGCGTTTCCCCGTTGTATCTCAATACTGATTTTCTGGCGCAAAAACTCTCCTGACCGAGGATTACCAGTACAATCGCTGATCTTTCGCGACAGCTCCTTGAAGAATTTCTTTGTGAGTGGTCCAAATGTGCCCGTGGTTTCGAACGCGATCGGCTGTACTACATATCGGTCTGCAAGTCCATCGTACTTTCCTAGCTTATGGTTTTCGCGTGCTTCCGCTGCACTTCCCGGCACCCGTGACGTCCGGGCGATGTACGTTTGAGCGAACGTGTCTGCCACTGTCACATCCCATACTAACGGTTTTCCATTTTCCAAGGAAAACGGTAACTCCGTCTGGTCTTTGCCATCTCCTCTGTCCAGTCCCGGCGGCTCGAGGGACGATGGCATTCGTGCAGAGTTCAAGGCTCGCTTTGTCACGTCATTCAACACGGCGTGAACGCCATGCCTTCCTTTCGCTAACTTGCAAACCAAGCCATGGTGTCCCAGGCTGTCCACTACGTTACCGCAACGGCATACATGCTGTTCGCAGACCGGGGCTCCCAACCGTCGCGCAACGGCTATGCGTAAGTGGGCATCTTCCAACAGGTTTCCGAAGAGGGATACTGGCAATGCTGACAACCAGGCGCGCGACTCCGATGAGGATGCAGCCAACAGGCGGGCAGAGGTAATTACGTCGGCGTTCTCCATCATGCGGGATGCTGTCTGGGTGTGCTGTGGCGTAGTCCACGCGGACTGAAACCGGCGACTTTCTGTGCGAGGGGGTTCGGTGGAAAAGCGAGATGTCCACACTTCTATCAGGCGGTTACACCGATCCTTGATGGATTCATTGCGGGTAACATTACACACCATGTCGACAGCACCATGGACTGATGAGGTGTAAGCAGCTAGCGCCACTTCTGTTGCGCTGATCAACCCTAAGCCTCCAAATTTCGTGGGTAACGATGCTTGGTTCCATACTGTGTCCGACATTGCAACATTGGTCAGCTGTTCCGCTTTAAATCGGATGACATCGTCGAATTTCCGTAATTCTTCAGGATACTGCCAGCAGGGAGAAGTTCTAAGAATATATAACAATTTCGGCAGCGACAAGCAATTCTTTAACAAGAAAAACGCCTGATGTGAAGGCAATATACCGAGCTGGTCGGCAAGCACTTGTGCTTGACCGACCTTCCTCATCAACGCGCCCGCAATCGCTTCGCTCAGCAAGGGTGAGCCTAACAGTTCCAGTTCCTCCGGTTTAGAAATGCGAATGTCCGGTACCGCGTTTAGGAATAACTGGGCTACGTTTTCACGCTCTGCAGGTGTTCCGCCGTCCACGAATAATTCACACTTTGCCGTGTTTAGTCTTAAGCCCACTGCGGCGGCTGCTTCTTGGAGATTTACCATATCGTCTTTAACAACTTGAGGATCTCCAGCAGACACACCGTCATCCAAAAACCACAGGTTAGTTTCGGCTTTAATCTGGGAACAAACATCTTGTGTTAGTAAACCATAGAACATTGGTGCACAAGGATCGCCCTGCTGGACACCGCTAGCGGAAGGTATGGTGACACCACTGGCAGGAGAAATGCAGAATAGAACTGAGTCTTCTCCGTACGCAGAACGAACAAAATTATAATATGCAGGTATCCGGTCGAATACTTTTTCCATAAGTTTATCCCGCCGAACGGTGTTGAAAGCGTTTGCAAAATCAAACTTTAAAAATGCGCGCGGCTTTGTCGACGGCGTCTGTAAAAACTCCCTGGCACTGTGCACGATGATTTCTGCTCCCTGTTTCGTTCCAAATCCGAACTGGACCGGGCGAAAATAATTACCCATTTCTTCTGCCAGCCGGAAACAAACTATCTTCGCTACAAGGCGGCGTAACGTGTCGACTTGTGTATCCTCTGTGGAATACTATTCTCACCACTGCCGCTTATTTCCGAGACGTGCGCGTGTCAGGGCGCAATGAGTATAATTTCCCTTCGCGCTTCTACTGTTATGCCTGGTGTGCAGCCTGTCTGTTGGAATGCGTTGGCACCAGCACGAAAGTGGCCGTCATCTCGGATCAAAGGTTCTCCGAGTGTCTGCGTATAGCCGGCCTAATTAGCCACCTTCGCAATGGCACTCGCATCCCGGCACTGGTGTTCTATAAGTGTTATTCCGGCGAGTATGAGTATGGTTATGTGGGCAATATTATCATCGAAGAAATATCGGAGGTTTTCACGTTCTGTGAGAGATTTGTGTGGAAGCAGTGCCGCATCTATGATCTCTTCTTGAGTGCAACCGTAGCCAAGTACTCCTCCGATGATAGTCAGCCGGCAGCTTCCCGGAGAACGCAGCTGTGGGATCTGTTCGAGAATAATCTTTCCGGAAAGGCATTTGATGTGCAGGATCTGCTGGAATGGGTCGCTGCCTGCATTTCCAGCGAGCAGCGCACATGGATTAAGAAAGAAATTGTATAGGTGAGCCTCAAATAGTCAATTTTCTGCACCGGCACAATTACAGGGTTATACTGGCTCGCAGTGCCTTATGAACTACCAGAGTGTAGACCCGCGATTGTCCACTCCGTATCGCAGTGTAGAGTGGACGGTGACCTCCCTCGGCGCGTTGGCTGTCAATAAGCTGACCAAGGTGACTATAGCGGCCCTGCATGCGGTGAGGGTTTGGCTGAACATAGATAGACAAGAGTGGGATCGACTCATGTCCAGTTAAGACATTCTGTGACGTCTTGGCATCGCTTTTCCTTCTTTTACGAAGCCTATTATCGGAGTGATCCCATCTTTCCAGTACAACGGTCTTCAGGACGGAGATGTACGGTCGGTGAAGCATGGTTCTCGTTGTGAGACTTCTTTCGTCGCTCTACGTGTGCTGTCTTATTTTTATCATCCTTCACCGCTCATACATTTGTGTACTGCTTATAAGTGAGCCGTTAGATTTTACGCTTTTGGAGGTCTGCATTGTGCACACCTGTTTTTATTCCATCTGGTATAGAAATGTTTATTACTTACAGGTATGTAAAGCCAAAGGGAACTTTAAAGCTGGTTGTTTGCTTAATGCCGAATGTTTTTTCTTGTGTTTAGTAATGATTTAAAGTACGACGCTCGAGTTATCCGACCTGTTGACTGCATTAAAAATTTAAAAAGAAAAATTAAATGCCAGTTGCTTTAAAATAAACTTGCTCGACCTACTCACTACGAGAAGTGGAATGTCGTACGCTTCGCGGTTTTAGACGGCGGTCGGTGCTGAGCGGTCGCATACTACCACAAAGTGCTCATACACTCGAGCGGAGAATTAAGATACTACGTCAACAGATAAGCATAGAAATCCAGCGACGAAGTACAGCACTTCGATGAGAAGAGCACCACCAGCGGCGAGTTTTGACGAAATTTTTCTTGTTATTCGACCGCCTTTAGTTGTAGTGTTGCTATATAACTCGCTGTCGTACCGTTTTTTAACTTTAAAAACTAAGCGAAAACTTTCAAAAGTTGTAAACGAAAGGAAACTACGTGCGTACATACGTACATATGTTTGCTAGGCGCCGTTGACGTTTTCATCTGCTTGTGATCTTGATAATTTCTTGCTTGCATATTGTGGTGGTTTGGCGGAAATGTGCTTACATGGGGCTGAAGTAGCGGACAGCGTCTTACGCAACAGCGTAATGTTGTTTAGCTGCACATTCGTCCCATAAATCAGAATGCCCAACCTGCATCTACCTCGAGATTATACGGGTATCGCTGCTTCTCATGCATTCAAATAATCTCACTGCTCCATCACCTGCAGCCAGGATGGTGGCCATCAGCCGCAATATAACGCCGTCCTATCTTTATTGCCGGTGCACCATGATTCAAAAACACGTGCAAAGCTGCGACTCCATACGGCATTTACCCCAGATTTAAAAGAGTTACGGCATATGCGGCAGATAGTAGGGCCTCAGACATACCGGTATAAACGTTTCCTGATCACGATGGTTATTTATGCATTAGACGCACGCGGATTGAGGATATCGTAGTCAAGCGGGCACTTGCACTTGTTTACGCACCGGCACTTGATATCTGTTACTCATGCACTTTATGCAACGCACCAACAAAAGCCACACGTATGATGTTGTCGACAGTGCGCAGTAATCAATCATCTCTTCATAATGAACGGTGCGGATAAGGCGGCATTGTTAACGGTTATCGTTTTCCTGATAAGGGTGCCACAACGGAAAAGCAATCAGCGGAAATACGCTGCTGTACCCTGCTGGCAGTCATCGCAACCGTAATTTGCGTTGAATTATGTGAATCTGTAGTCGCGTGTCTAATGTTCACCGAAATACGGAGATTCATTGTATGGAACATTTCCGCATCGGTAACGGCCGATTTTGTAATTATTTGAATTAATTATTCGTACTCGTATCTGCGGTAGGGACAGGTACTTGATCAAGACTTAAAAGGAATACGGGGCTTTCCTGGAAAGCGACGGCAATATGGCCGCATTCAGTCGGAAGTGTTTTACCAAAAATCTGGAGGAGAATGTCAAACTTATTCTGCTGCTTATTGCAATCATCTGTGGCTTCGGTAAGAATAATAAAACAAACTCTGATTAAGGTTGGTGCGTTGGACCTCTGGTGACTGGTGGTACAGTGCAGTGGCCTTTGTGTAGTAAAAAAAATATAAAATGTAAAAAAAAAATTATAAGGACAGGGACGTACGTAAAATCGTGAGTTTCGCACCATAACTGTATTTCAGTTATAAAAATAGGCTCTAATCATAAATTATAGCCTGCGTGACTTCGAAATTGACTACTAATTTTATTTAATTCTGTACTCGTATAATTATCCGAAGTACATATAATTGTAATTATACGAGTACAGAACCGCATAATTATGTACAAGTCGCAAATAAATACGTATTATACAGTTAGATAAGTATTATACACTTATGAATTCTGATTATATGAAATTGTGACTTTTGTATACCACCAGTTAATAAATGAAAAGAATATTATACGAGTATATATTAAAGTCAACGTGAATTCGCTGTATTTAATTACTTAAAATTCTAATAATGTTTATATGTTTTATGTTTATAATTAGTCATACACCAGAGCTTGCTTAATGCAAGTTTTAAGGATTATTTTTCTAAAATACACCATTGAAGAAATTAGGCAATTTTAATAAAAATGAATGGCATTAAATGGAAAAGTAAATGATTTCAAAATATTCATTACAAATGTGTGCAACTGATTAAGCATAATTAGTATCAACATAAAAAGATTTATAGTGCTGATTGCACTGCCGGTTTATCGCAGTATGATTACAACCGTATCGACACGTTAGCGCTAACACGTACGACACTCTAACGCCAATATTTCAGCCCTGGGTATCGGTCTGCGGGAGACGGGCCTGCAGAATGACCCGCGCAACGTTATGTACGTATCCTTCATCGGGAGCATCTTCCTCAACATGCTGAAAGTGGTCATCCTCCCGCTGATCATCTCCTCGCTGATCACCGGCCTAGCACAAATGGACTCGCAGACCTCCGGCCACATCGGCCTGCGCGCCGTCATCTACTACCTGACCACCACCGTGCTGGCCGTCATCCTCGGCATCGTCCTGGTGGTGACTATCCGCCCCGGGGAGTTCGCGGGGTCCCAGATCGAGGACCCCGACAGCCTGAAAGCGCCCGGGGAGGCCGCCGAACCCATCACTACACCGGATACCTTCCTAGACTTGATTCGGAATATGTTCCCGCCTAACATCATCCAGGCCACTATACAGTCCTACCGCACCAAACTGGAGGCGCCCATGAATGTGACGAGCACCGCCAACGAAACGATGAACTCCACGGCGGCAACGACGATCATGACGACCATCACCACCACCCTGGCGGATATTAATGCTACGATTGCGTCAACGTCAGCACCGGCCAAAATTGCGCCAGGTATACTGTATTGACATTCACATTCACAGAACCCCCTTGTTTGCCTCGTAAAAGGAAAAAGCCCGGTGCATGGAACCAAATTCGTACATGCTCGTTAAAACAAGCGCCTCCAATGCATTTCTCGTAATACTTTTTGTAATTGTACAGTAAAAAGCAAATTAGCAAGAGTGTGCGCTTTACAATGCCGAATTAATGTACGGGTAGTGATTATTATGTGGTTTTAATGAGCGACGTTGCAGATTACTACACCTATATTGTCAAATACAAATGGACCGATGGAACTAACATTCTGGGAGTCGTCGTCTTCACCATTGTCTTTGGTAAAAAAATGGTTCGACGCTTTTGTATAGGTAGAGTGCGTATCCGATTGAAGACTAACCAATGCGATGTTTTTAAAAGGCATTACGATCAGTAAAGCCGGACCTAAAGCCAAGCCGCTGGCCGATCTCTTCGAAGCCATCAACGAGGTCACCATGAGGATTGTGGGCTTGATCATGTGGTACGATTGAAACTCACGCGCTAATTTACTGTTTGAAATACGCTGATTGTATTTGTTGCGCGTGATCGCCGTAATTTAATGAATCTAACAACCATACGTACGTAGGATAGCGCCGCTGGGTGTGACCTTTCTCATTGCCGGTCAGCTGCTGGAGGTTAAAGATCTCACGGCCATGATCTCCCAGGTATTACGATATTTTCTACCCAACACTTCACGATTCTCAAAAACCTAAATCTCGACGTTGAAAAACGCATTTTTTATTTCAGTTGGGAATGTATTTCGTCACCGTAGTGGTAAGTGAAGGCAGTATTATTGTAATTGACTGATAAATAACGCATTGTGATGCAGACGGGCCTGTTGATCCACGGCATTATTCTGCTGCCGTTGATCTTCTTTATCATAACGCGCCGCAATCCGTACTCATTCATCGCCGGTGCCGGGAAGGCGCTGATTACCGGTTTTGGTACCAGTTCTAGCTCGGCCACACTGCCGGTGACTATACAGTGCTGCGAGGAGAATAATAAAGTCGACACCCGGTAACTAGCGCTCGTCGGCAGAATCTCAAACATATTAAATGAACCTGTTGCTTTATATTATTTGTATTTTCCTTGTAGGGTCAGTCGGTTCGTGTTACCCATTGGTAAGCAATGTGTTAATATGTATTACCGCGTGCAAATAAGCGATGTTGTTACTGAGCTACTTAAATGTTGTTCAAATATTTAAACGGAGATTGTAGAATCTTAAATTAGTCTAGTTATGTGCAGTTCATATTTCGCTGTATTAAGTCGATTAAAAACCCATCTACCGTATGGGACTAAAAAAATGAAAAGTCGGTCCAGGGTCAGAAATTTATTACAGCAATGAAATAAGCGACCGACGTGCAAGCATGAAGTTTGAGAAAAGCAGCCCTTATTTTACGAAATGTGCTAGAAATTTAGGCATGTCCGCTTTTAGCTTCTACGTTATATGAGCTTTCTGTTCTTTTCAGGTGCTACGATTAATATGGACGGCACGGCACTGTACGAAGCCGTGGCGGCGATCTACGTGGCCCAGACACAAGGCCAGGAAATCAGCTTCGCCCAGATCGTCGCCGTCAGGTGCGTTCTTGGACGTGTAAACTGACTGGCTGATTTTTAACAGCATCTTTTTATCTGGATAGTATCACGGCAACCGCCGCGGCCATTGGTGCGGCCGGAGTCCCTCAGGCCGGCCTGGTTACCCTCGTCATGGTGATGGAAGCCGTCGGGCTGGACGCCAAATTTGTTGGCGCCATTATGGCCGTCGACTGGTTGCTGTAAGTGTAAAGGTCACTTTTCCGCAACCCTTATTAATAAGCTGGATTCGACAGGGACCGCGTGCGAACGACGGTAAATATTTTGGGCGACGTGATCGGCACCGGTATCGTCAACCATCTCTGCAAGAACTACCTGGCTAATTTAGACCAGCAGGCGGCACTCACGAGCGAAAAGACCGAGATCGCAGTGGTCGGCGGGGCGGGGGGTCTACACGAGTCGCCGACTGTGGAGACGGAAATGATGCAGTATCAGGACAAACCCAACCTGCGGAAACGGAACAGCGGCCACAGCGAATCTGAACAGCTTTGAGCTGGTCGTTATGTAGTCCGCTTACAAAAGAAAATTGTTTTATGTACAAAAGAGACTACGTGTTTATTCGTGATCTCGGTCATGTAATTTCCCGGCGCGATTAATTGTTGTTGTTGTAATTAGTCAACGGCTGTCAACGTGCCAAACATTTGATACCATTCTTAAACAACAACGTGAGATGAAAAAGATTACCCTTTTGAAAATGGGATGTTAGTAACTCGGTACGTAAATTAGTACGATCGGGCACCCGATTATCGTTGCCTGTTATTCTCCGGTTTCGCTTGCGCCGCGGACGGTGGGTCGATGGGAGCAGCGGTAGCGTACCAGCCAAAAGGTACACATTTCTTCTTTATCCTGCATATTACCGTAACACAAATCACAGAATTTTTTGTGGATATCAAGACGTTCTGAGTCGCCCAGCTAAAGAAACTACCAAAAGCAGTACCCTCCCTTCTAACAGGAAGCACGGCCGCGGCTGGCCTGGCTGAGAGGGGTGGGCCGCCCTCACCGTGACTGTTTGCACGCTCACCGTGTTACCGAATCTGTGATCTCGTACATGCATAGGCTGATACAGACAGCGTTAAGAGAGGACTGCGTTATTTAGAGCCCATCCTGAAAACGCGTAAACAGTGTGCAAGCAGCACATAAGACGGTTATCAGATTGCGTGAAATGCATTGCCAGACTCCCGGTTTTCTGGATGCTGTAGAGTTTGGATCGTTTTATATTAGGCAATCAAACGGCGATCTTCAATCCGCGCATGCTCTAAGGTAACTGCTTAATCTCCGATACTATATTGACTGTAGCAACCTTGCCGCCTCGGTGGCATTTGGTGCATACGCATTATGTGAAATTATCAGCCATATTCGTATCGTGTATCTTTATTAACCTGTGGTACAACGTATTAGGCATTAACTAACGTAGGAACATCACAATTTTTACAACAATCGTATCTGTATGTCAGCAGTAGAAGTACGTATATCACCAGATGCACGCACATTTAGCTAGATCGTTTTCGCCATCAAATTTATGAATATGGATATATCAATATGGATATGGATGAGTCAGTCGACTCATAGCCAGGCACATAATAATTAATTTTTACGTGTACGCTATCCACTGCCCACAGAGTTCAGCAGCAGCAGCAGAGTACAGCAGTTCAAACATTGCATACGTGACGCAGTCATGCACTTGTTGCAATACATGTCGGTAAGTGCAAATTATTACTGGTTATTGCTTATCTTCGTGGACTTTGCTCTAGAATTTTTTGCGATTTCTCGCACGCGTCTTGCTCAAGGATTTTATAAACTTGTGTGAGAAAGTCTTTGCATTCCTTTACTATCATATAGTTATATTGTTTGCCTTGGGAGTGCTTTTCCATCTCTCGGCACATTGGATTTCGCCCAGAAATTATCCCCAACCTCGATGATCATAAATTTCGGTATTTGGCGCATAATTAGTGGCCACAATTAAATCTCCAAATCTCGATACGGAGTTGGCTGTTTCGGTCAGCGTTGACACTACATACTTTATAATTCTTGAACTGCTAAGCTTATTAGAAGCTACACCAGATTTATTCGGCCATGTCTGGATTTATTGCGAGATCCACTGAATTTGTACGCACCGAAAGGCAGCGCACAGTTCTAAATGATGTGTACGTGGGCCGGCAGATCCTGGCCAGCGACGAGCGAAGCGATGTACTGTTTGCTGTGGGCCGTCAATTGGGTGACGTTAAGATGTTTTCGGCTCACAAGTAAGTGCTAACTTACGAGACCAAGCAGAGCCTTACACAGATTACCTTAAGCCGGTTAAGGTGCCAGTTACTTTTCCGATGAGTTTCTAAATCATATAAAGATCAAATATACGGGTATATAATAAATTAATAATGGTATTATACACTCATAGATGCACTCATAGATATGGAAATTCACAGTGCATCTGGCTTGCAGACTCAAGGAGATAGAATTTGTTCTGTGAAGGCCGATAGCTCCGCCTTCATGATTGGCCTTTCGCCATTGTGTTTTGCTGTTCTGGGGATTTCCATCCCACACATTGCTGCTGTTTTGACGGACCTACAGCACAGCTGCGCTGGCTGTAGGATCCGATCTCATTAGTCGGTGTTTGCTGCGCCACGGTGCGCACCTTAGATTTCGGCATTAAAGCCTCAATCCGGGTTCGCCGCTGTTTCGCCGTCGAAGGTACGTGGGCGCCCATAAGGCCCCACGTTACAGTTCAAAGATTTCCGTAATTACTACTTTACTAAATAACACAGATGCAAGCAAATGCAAATTGTTATATCCTTATAGCGAACTTTGCTTTGTTTTCAAACAATCCTTTTTGGATTGCCACTAGTATCTCAAAATGAGATGTTTTTCGTTACCTACTCGTAGATCCATGCTGAGCCGGGGCAGTACTGTCTTCAACACTATGTTCAATGGAAGTTTAGCGGAAAGTGGTGATACGGCCATCGATGTTCCTGAGATCCTGCCAGAAGCCTTCAGCAACCTCCTCAGGTAAGCGTTGTATGCATTTATAGTTTTTACGTCCTGAGCGGTTTATCTGATTTGGTGCAGTGGAAAAGCGACACCGCACTTTGGTCAGCAATACTTTTGACATCAAGCAGGTTAGCAGAAATACGTGCACACTGGCAGGAGTAAATCATTAAGACGCGCATAAGGATACTAGTTCTTTTGTGCCCAGATATTAACTGACCATATACTGCTGTGCGTCGAACAACATATTTCGTACTAACGTGTGTGTTTTCGCTATTGTTGCAGATACATCTATACTGGCTCGGTTGGCAACGGTTTAAATGCTGAAAATGTTTTTGAGACGGTCTACTGCGCCGATAAGTACAATCTGCCAAGGCTGGAAAATCTCTGCTTAACGTTTATCAAGACAGACTTAAGAGCAGACAATTGCCTTCTATATTTAGAAGCAGTAAGCCTGATGCTTTCGCAGCCTGAGTAGATATTGCCTGTTGGTAACTTGACGAACAAATTGAGAATTATTTCGTTTTCACTACTTATTAATATGATAGTTGCTTAAAGCGAGTTAATTTTGTGTTCGCCCTGACCTGAGCTGACTTGATTTATCTCGCATCAGGTCAAGCGCTGTATGCACGACTCGGTTGCACGCCTAGAGGAAAGCTGCTGGGAAGTCGTAGACCGATTTACTCCATCTGTACTGCAATCAGAGTATTTCCCGACAGTCAGCCGAGAAACCATGAAACTGCTTTTGCAGCGCGACACCTTGTCGGCCGATGAGAACAGCATATATTTAGCTGTCGAAAAGTATGACAGATCGTAGCTTGTGTCTTTGCAAGAGTATTAAACGATCACTTTCAATTGGGAATTTCTTTAACAGTTGGTCAGTGGCGGCTTGCATGCGCGATAATCTGGAGCCTTCCCAAGTTAACCGGCGTGCTGTGCTGGGCGAAGCACTGTACCTTATCCGTTTTCCCCTGCTGACTGACGCGGAACTGGTCAACGGGCCCATGAAAGTAAGGACGTATGTGATACAAACAGATCATCCGTCTGACCTCTGTGGTACAAAAACGCTGCCAACCATTTTGCGCTTATTCATATAACCGTTTGTCTAAAAGGCATTTTCATCGATCACCGGATTTCTTAAGACGAACGATTTTTCCGTAGATACCTGCGTTAACGTTGTACGTGGTTATGATATCATCTCATGGAGATTAAGGTGTTTAAATGTAGAGCCGAATGCTGCTTGAGCCAGAGCTCTTGGACATTTACCAGTTCAAATATGCGAATGACAAGCCACAGCTTCCGTTTCCGGTGGTACACCGTCGCGGCTCGATTCTGCGTTTTCCAAAAGGTTATGCAGAGTTCGTGCAGCAGGAAAAAGTGTTTGTGGAGATGGATATTGGACAGAGATTGTTCTGGTATCCTGCACTGGTTGTCGGGATGCGTGAAGCGGATATCGTTGTTTCACGGGATAAAGGACAGACAACTTATAACTGTGCACCGTACAAAGTCGTTCGGGCTGCGGATATCTTGCAAGTCGGACAAGAAGTTAAGATTCTCATCAAGCGCAAATACCACCCCGCTGTGCTGGTCGCATTCTGGGGAGATTTTTACGATGTCTGCTACCGAGGTACACAGTATTCGAAGCTGTTCACAGAACTGGTTGTCAGTCGCGATCAAATGACGGCCTGGAAAGCGGCCGGTTATGTAAGCGTCTTCTATTGCTAAAGTTCTCTTTGTTTTAATTCCTTACGGGAGCGGTGATAGCGCATTTCTCTTAAAAACTCTTCTGTTACAGCTAACACTTAGGTAATTTAGATATGCAAAATATAGTGCTAGTGATTCTGACGTTTGTTATCACAGATTACGGGACATTTGTATTGCTCTTTGCACGCTTTTTGTTACAAAATAAATGGCGTCTACTTCAAAACAAAATTCTGTATAATTTGGTTGTTAATACGTGTTATGTTCACACTAGAATAATCGACGTAAAAGATGTCAGTTTGATTTAATTCAGTGCAAATATGCCGGTATCACACAGTTCCTTGACAGGCACGGGAATTTTTGCTTTCGCGCACTGCCAAACATTTTTTCCTATGATTTTATGACATTGTGGAGTAGAGCCCTGCGCGAGCGCTCGGCGCGCGAGCCGGATGTGCGAGTTATTACCGGTACAGGCGCGAGGCGAGTGGAATATCGTTAAAAATTTGCGATCTCGGCCATAGAATCTTCCCGGCAAGTTTAATCCTGGTTGCAGGCAGATATCGTATTCAGTTTGAAACAAAATATAACAACATGAGTCAAAGCGCACACCCGCTCCAAGATTAGACTTGGGTGAAAAACTGATAATAAATCGGTACGCCTGCTTCTGCAGACTATGTATGCCAGACGCAAAGTTATGGTAATCGTTCGCTGTCCATTCAGTTCCTGTAGAGTACGGAGTAGCGGGTATGTTAGCGGCGCTTAGAGGAGGAGCCAGAAGGTGCACATGTCCCCTTTGCCCTGTATATCGTTATAGCATTGTTGACTAGTGCGTCCGCCGGATTATAGGTCGATCAGTGCGATGGAAATTTTACAATAAACGAACCTTAATGGACAGCAGTCCCCGCTCTTTCACAGTGAAGCGGCGGCGGGCGTCGCTGGTAGCGAGGAGATCGCGGCTGGCCTGGCTGAGATGAATGCGCCCGCCTTGGCCGTGGCTGTTCATACGGGCCGCGACGTTCACTGTGTCACCAAACCTGCATAACATCCGTACAATAAACTAGCAGCACATCAACCTTCGCCACGTTTAAGATACTTTCTAGACATTCGTCGAGCTTGTCGTTATACCGGATTAGGCAGCAGTAACTGGCCTCGAGTAGAGGATGTTGTTGATCCTATTACTACATAGGTGTTTACTGAGTCGTCAAATCATGTTGTCTTGTTTTTGTAAATTCGACTAGTGGGCACTGTCACACTGTGTGCACCAGCGGCCTACGTTTGTACTTACAAGCAGTAGCGAGGAACGCGCATGCCAACCACCCCGGCAGCACAAGAACCTGCAAGAATCAGCGTACTGTAGAATATGGCTAGTATCTGTATAGAGTAAACTTTCCCGCAAGGAAATACGCTCGGTGTATGATATCATAACATGATAACCACGAACAGTGTGCGTACGGAGCGTGGTTATGGAAGCGTACCTGAGTGGATGCCGCACCGCAATCGCAGCGTAACCGACTCCGATGGGTCCTCATCCTGCAACGCTGCTTGCCTATTGATAGTCGGTCTAGTACTTTCGAACACTTTCATCAGCTTAATAGCCATCCGACAGATCTCCACGGCGTGCTGGTTGTCTCCCCGTTCCGGAATGCCGCTGACTGTCTGCAGAAGTGGCCTGTCTGTCAGTGCATCTCAGTAATTTCTGCACTCAACGGGAGATCAATAACTTACCATGTAGCTGTCACGCACAGTCTCCACCTTGTACACATCCATATCCTGGATGGCACCGTCAAAGGCGCTACATACTGATGTCACCGTGTCGATGACCGTCTCGGGTGGAGCGCAGCTAACCCAGCTGACGAAGCCGTCAAGGTCGGAAAAGAAAATGCTAACACAGGAGTAATACTCCGCTACCATCGTTTCGCGGTTGCGCAGCTGATCGACCACCGATCTACGGACAAGCAAGCACGCATTTAGTAATTTCGTCTCCAAGGCTCCACCAGCAATGTGAGATTTGTGACCAACCTGGGGAGCAGTTCCCTCAGCAAATTGTCACATTTCTTCCGCTCACTCTGCAGCTCTTCGGTCTTCAACCGCACCGCTTCGTTCAACGTCAGCGTGTACGCTTCGAAGCGGCGAAGGATGCTTTCGACGAGATTGCGGGATGTCGGCTGCCCTGGCACGAGTAACCGTCCGATGGTGGTCAGCACCTGCTTGGCGGTGGGGCGCAGCGCTGGATTAGGATGATGACATCGGCTGGCTAAAAGTGTCAGGCTCCGCTGGATATCGTAATTCACCGCGTCACTGTCGCCTTCGTCCGCTTCCAACGCTACCGCCAATGTGGACGGTATCTTGCTCGTGGATTGGTGGATGATCAACAAGAGGATCTGGCCAACGGCGTAGATGTCCGCCGGGAAAGTCAAGTCAATGCCGTCGACGTCTTTGATCGGTAAGAGAGCGTGAGCAATGGCGGCGAAGCCGAACTGGCCGATGCGCAGTGTGAAGCGGTCGTCGATGAGACAGCAGTCCGAGCTGAGGCGACCATGCGGCCGCCCGATAGTGCCGTGCAGGTAAGCCAGACCCTGTTCATTGTAATTTCAGTTTCAGAAACCTTTTGTTATATTACAACTATTTTTATGCTCGTTTTCTTATTTTTTATATGAACTGGGAAAATTATCCGGGCATTTGACCACTTAGTGAGTTGTGAATGGCTCTAAGGAAAGGTCACGTGCACTCACGGCTTACCTTTGCCAGATCGCGTGCCATCGCCAACTGGAACTCCTGGTCCAGTTTTGTCACTTCCAGCAAGGCCATAAGGGAGCCGCGCTTGCAATATTCCGCCAGAAGGAAGGCTCGATGCGGCAGAATAGCAATTCCCAGGAGATCATTGACATTAGGATGCTGTTTATGTAAGCAAGTACGCTCTTAACAGTCATCGAAACGGTAAGTGACGGTAGTAAGCAGTGGCGTTATTTATAGAAGTACTTATATAATTCCAGCGCACTAACCCTTGCATCGGGAACGAGCTGTGCCAGCAGCTGCAGATTGGGCCGTCCTTGGATCTCCAACGCCGTCAGCCAGACTGTCCTTCTCCTCCATGACACTGGATTAGTAACTTCAGCGCCGCCCATAACCAGGCTGACGTCCAGTTCGTCTCCGCTGATCAACCACCAATAGGCATTACGCCGCGCTCGTTTCCTGTGGAATGCAGTATATGCCAACGGTTCTAACACATCGTCTGATGTACAAGCTTGTCCCCGTGACTTCTTTCGTAAAGGCAAGTATTTAGTGCGAAACTTACGCTTTGAACGATAACCACTACAGGTGCAATACATATCTTTACGTTTACGCATGAATAGTCCAGTGGAAGAGATTATTAGACCATGTGAAAGCAAGGAAGGCGTTGCTGTTTGCTAAGCAAACTGCATAAAGTTATTTAGATCGATAGTTCTATGCCAAATGCATGTCGAGCATAAATAGTGTGACGTGGCGCGCCGTAGTATATGGAGTTTGGTGCAACCCGTGAATTTTATATGCCGCTGGGCGCGGTGGAAATTACGAGACAACCTTGTACGCTTGCTTAGTCGGATAGGTTCTAAGCAGAGTGTCCTCAAAATCACAGAGAAGAGAACAGCTCACCTTACACCAAATAGAACTGCGCAGGATGCGGTCAAGAGCGCTACCATGATGCCAATGGCGACGGGAAGAGCGATATTCAAAACCGATCCGGCTGACGCTGTAATAGTTGCCGCATCGTTAAGGCACGTTAAAAATAGAGCACAACGCTGAAAACAAGACACCAACCGCAGGGTCCTTCTCTTCCACTGAAGCCGCAAAGTGGGACATCCAACGGTAGACTGCCGGTCGGCCAGTCCAGCACCGAAGTGTTTCTCAGCTCGAAGGCGCCGCTGACGGAACGATACACGGCGAACATCTGCATTCAAAATAACTGTAACGCTGAAGTTATGGTGCATGTGTGAAGACCACGCCGTGACGGCAGTTGCGGACTTACGGTCATATTTCTTGTCTGCGAATTGAACATCCAGATATCCACGTCCATGCTGGACATTCCGTTGCCGTCGACCCGGACGTCGGCGTGTGGCAGCTTAAAGGTACGGTTGAGGAAGAGCGAAGTCAGGTGGTCGCCGGCGCAGAAGGCTGCTCGCTGTGCCGCTGTAAGGTTGCGGTATCCGTCCAGATTGTCGGCCAGGACGCTGCTGAGCAGCTCGAAGGACCTGTAGGCGCTGCGCGTTGCGTAATTGTTCAGTGGCTACAAAAAAAGCCATGCAATTTAGTTTCCAAAGCGTTTATTATTTGGTCCGTTTCGCGGATTCAGTGGCCGTTAGAATGTTGACGATTACTTATGTAATCGGCAGTATTATTTGTGTACGTCGTGAGCTGGTGAGCAGAATCTAATTTTTCAGTTTACCAGTTGTATGTCTGGCAACTGTTCTTTTAAAACGTTAGCAGGGCCAAGTGCATTTGCTGCAAGCATTGCATTTGCTCAATGTTCGGTGATTGCATGGATACAGCGTAATCAAGAATTCACCAACACCGTCAATCGCCCTGTTAAGAAACGCGTCTCACCTGTATTCCTGGCTCATAGGTCGTATTGTACAGATCATAGGCCATATGACGCAGTTCGCCGTTCAGGTGTTGCTCGTAATCGGAGTTGTCGGATTCATGGAGGATGACGTAGATGAAGTTCCACGTCAGGTTCAACATCTACCGCATCACAAGTTTCTCATATTCAAGCGCTTAAACTTTATCGGTTATCCTTATGTACAATGCTATAATATAAAATAACTAGCTCTCTCTATGACCACAACTCTACAAGTACCTCTGTAAGCTATATAAAATATAATCATGTAATTCATAAATATAACTGAAGTGAAATTAACGGTGTAGGTTAATACGATCAGTACAAGTACACGAAAAAATCTGTTAGGTGCTGACCAAAGGCGTCGGATTGTTGAACAGCGAAACCTTTCCATAGTAAATGTTCTGGACAGTCTGTACACTGATGAACACCTTAATGGCAGAGAAGAACGCATGATTACGTATTTATCCAGCCGCACAGCGACGATGAAAGACAGCAAAGATCAGCAGCGAACATACGTATTCTCCGTTGGTCATTCCGAGCTGACTGGCAAGGTCCTGCGTAAATGTTCATCGTGCTTTAAATGTGCACAACAAAATACTGCCAGGCACAATGTTATGGGCTGATGAACTCGTTAGGTAATCAATGTGGCTAGACTGTAATTTAACTCAAAAAGCTGTATCATAGCCAGCACTGTGCAGCGAAATAACAACGTACCATTATCTTGTAGGCGACGAATGCCGAGGCTCCTAGGATGAAGACTGCAACCGGAGATCCGTTATAAAGAAATTTTGGTGCCTAAGTACTTTATGCCATCGACAACGTATCAAATGCATGTCACCGGGAAAAATCATTAGGTAAGATAAGAAAAAGAGCACTGCGGTGTTTCCCAACCACCGGTCACCAGCAGTGTGTCATATAATAAACTGTTTTCAGTGAGGTTACTTTACCCTGCAGGTGGTAAATTAGATTTCCCTGTAACAATCAGATGAAAATTGGTGACATTAAAAAATTACTTATTGGATTGTGCCATTTTGAGCTTTCACAAATAATCGAATACCCGATATTACAGATGTATAACAATAATGTGACCGGGTGTGGGAAATACCGAAAAACTGCATTACGTAATATGATCCATAATTAATCTATATTTATTTTAGGAAATTCGATTATTTCTGTATTTCAGTCCACACGTGAATTGTATGCGGACATACCACGGCTATTCTGCTTCGCACGCAACAAACTATCAATAACAGAGGCGTTGTCATTGCCCTGGAAAGGATAGGTAGCGATGGTGCTGGTATTGGCGCGGCCATCCTGGAGCGCCAAAACCTTGGCGGCGTTGCAGACGGCGGAGTACAGGATGGTGGGGGCGCGAGAATCCAGGAAGAAGGTCACATGCGACCAGCCAAAAAAGTTCAAGACGCTCCACAAAGTTCGCGCCAGGCCCACTTCGCTTCCCGCCAGGTTGAGCAGATTCGCGGGCGTCGATAAACGGGGAAGCGAGAGTTGCGGTACCATGCCACTAGGTACAATTAGAACTACGGATACTGTGTCGTCAGATAAATTTATCGACATCTGCTTACTTATGCAAAAAGAAGGCATTCCATTCTGTAAAAGAAAAAATGAGTAGTTCGTAGTTGGCCCGGTAATTAGTTGAGAGAAACCGGTCGAGCTGCATTAACATTGTGCTCACCACTGGACAAATACAGCAGCTGCAAGTAGTCCACACACGCTATAGAGAAAATCACATCTGTCAGCTATTTGCCCTCTTTCCATGTTCTCCATTAATATGGCTGCTTACTGTTGGTGAAGAAGATGTTGCAGATGCCCGGCGTATGTTGGCCCAGATTGTGCTGGTAATAGTAACCAGTGAGTAGCTGGATTCCGGTGGAGCCAACCGTCGGGCAGGACTGGTTGTACATATCATCCACAGGCCGCACCACGAACCGCAGTCCCCGTTCATCGTATTGCTCGTTGGCACGCTGCACGGCAAGATGCATAGCCGCGCCTGTCCACGCCAGCCCTAACGACACGCTAGGGTCCAATAACTGCACACTGATTACTCGGACCTCCAGGACCGCGGCGACCGGGGTATCGCGCTGGCTTTGACCGCTGATCGGCCAAGTGCGCAACAGCAGGCACACAACAAACCAGCGAGCGCTATGCAGGCACATTTCTTTACTCGCAACTGGCGCAACGAAAACAGAGGACCAGGCTGCTTTCCGACGAAATGCCCACGGGATTCAGTGTATCATCGAGCCGCAGGCGGTACACGGGGGTGTTATTCATGCCGCGCTTGGTTGATTGCCGATTGCAAAGGTTGGGCTAACCTGTTTTTCGAAGCGTTACTCAAGAAAGCGTACGTGCATCTAATGCGTAAATACCGCATAAGCGTAAAAGCGTAAATGTAAAGCATACATCTGCATAAACTGACTTCTAGAAAGCCTCCTGATGTCTATGTACGACTTAATAAATGACGATAAATGACGATCCTGGTGAGCTACTGCAACAACAACGGCGCTCCTACTGCATGCGCATCAGCAATTTTATTTATTCCCGCAGCGTTTATCACTGTGGCACGTGTGCCCCACTGTGAAAAGACAGCGCGAGGGTTGTTTGTGGCTTTTCTCGTGTGCGAACGGCTCATGCCGGGCTTTGCGCGGCTTTCCTGTCGGTTATAATTACTACAATAAATACCCGTATGATTAGTAATCGAACCCGCGGCAACTAGCGTATCCTATCCTTATTGCCAATTTTCTGGATGGCGTGGAATGCGGACTATGCGTACCGTGATGAATAATTAATGGTCACAAGGCCTTGATCAGCCGTTATGCAATCGAATTATGCAATGAAACCAGAAATAGTTTCGAGCGGTTACTTCTGATTCGACTGCAAAATTTGTTCCTGTCGTGTGCGTGTTGCACAAAACGGGGTTGTGATCCCACGTATTTTGCTTCTTTCGTCCTATTCCTACAAATTACACCGTGTTTTCCTCATACATTTAAATTCACCGTTTTACCATGCTAACCTCAAAGTACCGGGTAGTATATAGCATACCATAAACCGAAAAAACACATCGAAACTGCGACATTTACGTAATTATCGGGATAACTACGTAATCACAATAATTATGTGGAATCACAAGCAGCGAATGTCTATGCAAATACAACGGGGAAACGCGATTTGTGTAATGGGTACGATTCCCGATCAAGATTGCCCAGAGGAAGTGTTTCTGTTATAAATGCTGTTGCGTTTTGGTACATGTTTGTACTCGTATCATGATACTATAACGGATAAATAAGATGACTAACATTAACACTCGTGTCGAATAATTGATTCATTAGTCAACACGAGTGTTAATGTTAGTCATCGTTATAATACTTATTAAAGGTTAAATGTGTATTATGGGGTACACAGTAATACCACGAAGGCTTACCTGCACGCAGCATACAAGTAGCACATCCAATTATAGCCGCAAAAACCATGGGAAAGACTAACGTCATGTAAGCTTGACCAAGTGCCGATATTCAAAGAGAGGTTGAAGATAGCAAGTCAGCGCCGATTAAGGGCAATGTACTGGTGAAGGAAGAATTTCTGCTATGGTGAGCTGGCTGTAAAAATAATTTTGTTAATGTTGCTGGCAGAAATACTTCAATCCTGGCAGCTAAAGAAGTACTGCTGTGAACTTTATGGCGAACCAACACACACCTGGAGAAATCCATCCTAGCGCTACGGGCGTCGCCTGCCTGCGATGCGGTGCGGGTGAGCTACGTGGTGCTAAGAGCACCATGTATGCGACAGGAAAGAAGCGGAAATTGGTGCGATTACTGCGTATTTGGTGTCGCAGAAGAAACCCGTAAACATCCCGGGGTGACCAAGAATTAACGGTGATTGCGTAAATGCTGCTCTTTGGATGCAAAAACGGTAAGGAGATACTGTATCCGTGGGAGCACGTGTGCGTTAGCTAATGATGTCAATGCAGGATACATCACGTCTCTGCTAGTCAAGCGTGCCTTGTTGATCCCCTCCAAGCGTTGAATGGATTTCCAATAAAATTTACTATCGTCATAAAAAAAACTAATACGCATCATATCATAAAGCAGCAAACCTGGCAATGACCGCGACGACTTCCAGCCGCACCCATACCGGCTGTTTTTTTGTTGATTAGTGAGTGGTCGTCAATTCTGTGGGATGACAGTCTCTTATTAGGTTTAAACCAAATTCAACAAAATGTTGGTTTTTCTTTATTCTGAATTCGGACGAATGTTTTCTAACCGGTTTATCATGTCCTCCTTGTGTTCGGATCAGCTCACCGAAGTGCAATATGACTGCGCATATTTATCGGAAGCTAACGTTTCTTCTTTCTGACCTTTAAGAAATGCCTAGCAGCGCTTTGTATCTGCATTACTGTACGAGGTCATGACAGCCATCTATGTCGCCAGAACGCAAGGCCTCCACGTCAGTTTCGCCCAGATCGCCGCCATCAGGTGTGTCGGGTTGTGCGTGGGTTGAGTAATAGTTTTCAGCGACTTCCCAGTCTTCTTATAGTACTACGGCAACCGCCGCTGCCATTGGGTCGGCTGGTACACTTCTGGCCGGTTGATAACACCTGCAATGTCAATTGATGCTTTCCGACTAAACCACGAATTTGAGAGGGCAATTTCGGCCTTCGATTGGTTGCTGTATATTTAAAGGCCCCGTTCCTAAAGCTCTCTCTATTGTAAGGCCATTATTAAGTTCAGTAACAACAGAAAATGTTTTTTATTCCAAAGCAGACAAAGTTTTTTTTCCCCGTTTTCTTATTCGTGATCTCGGTCACGCAATTTTCCCAGTGAGTTTAATTGTTCTTGTACTTAGAAACGGCTGTGAACCTGCAGAACGTTTTACACCAAATCTAAGGAACGACACTCAGAAGAAGCGTATTGCCCCGTTTAGAAAGAAGTTGGAAAGAAATGGTTGAATAACAGCGTGAATATTTTGACTGGCGTCCATTGTCCAGTTTGGTTTGTTCCTCGTACGGTGCAGCCGATGTCACCGACGTCAACGCAAAAGCCAGAACGTGCGCATCTCCCCTTTGCCCTGTAAATAAACGCGTGGATATTGGCAGCCATCCAGCAAAGAGAACTAGCCACCGACCTTAACGAACAGCAGTCCTCTCTCTTGAAGCAAGAAACGGCGGTCGTTGTCGTAACTAAGAAGAAGATCGTGGCTGGCCTGGCTGAGATGAATGCGGCCACCTTCACCATGGCTGTTCATTCGGGCTGCCACGTTCACCGTGTCACCGAACCTGTAAACCGCACACGCATTGGCAGATCGAGAGACCGTTTAAACGACTGCGTTACAACAATCCCATCTCAAAAAAACATATTGAAGTGCACACTTTGACTTTGCAACTGAAACCAGCCTAGGATCCCCTCACTAGCGCTTTTTTTTACTACCACTCGCGCGCAGTCACAAGTATCGCATTACAATGTTCCTCTTTTTCTGAGATGGGCTTGCTGCTACAACTTACAGGCAGTAACGCGGGACTCGCATCCCAATCACTCCAGCAGCACAGGGACCTGTAAGGTATATGAGATGCATCGAAAAGTCACTTTATACAGGAATGTGTCGAATGCGATATGACAAATATAAGAATCCTACCCGAGTGAACGCCGCACCGCAGTCGCAGCGCAACCGGCTCCCATAGTAGATGCGTCGTGTGTACTGCGGCCGAGTTGTCCTCCGTCGATATTGCCGTGTTATTAGTAGACAGTCCGCTGCTTTCGAAGACTTTCATTAGTTTGATGGCCATCCGGCAAATCTCCCTGACGTGCTCGTTGTCGCCAAGATTAGGGATCCCACCGACTACCTAAAACAATAGCTCGAATCGAATTATCTCACCAGTGCGCTTAACTGGAGTTGCAAACTAACCATGTAGCTGTCGCGCACCGTCTCCACTTTGTGCACGTCCATTTCCTGGATGGCCCCGTCAAAAGCGCTAAACATGGTCGTCACCGTCTCAATGACTAGCTCCGGTCGTGCACGGCTCACCCAGGCAACGAAGCCGTCCAGGTCGGAGAAGAAGACGCTGACGCAGGAATAGTATTCCGCCACCATCGATTCCCGGTTGCGCAGCTGATCTACCACGGATCTATTAACATACAAATCCCGAGCTAACTTGGGTTTGACTTCTGTTGTTACACGTGGCCGTAACTAACTTAGGCAGAAGTTCTCTGAGCAGATCGTCGCACTTCTTCCGCTCGGTCTGCAGTTCCTCAGTCTTTATCAGTACCGCCTCGTTCAGCGTCAGGGTGTAAGTTTCAAAGCGGCGAATGATGCTGTCGACGATGTTGCTCGACGCCTTCTGACCGGGGACCCGCAGCCGCCCGATGGCGGTCAAGACTTGTTTAGCGGTCGGACGCAGCGCTACGTTGGTGTGGAGACACCGGTTGGCCAGCAATGTCAGGCGCCGCTGAATATCGTAGTCCGCCGATTCACTGTCTTCTTCGTCGGTCTCAAATCCTGCCGCCTTGGCCGGCAGTTTGGATGGGATCTTGCTAGCGGACTGGTGGATGATCAGCAAAAGTATCTGGCCGACCGCGTAGATGTCAGCCGGTAGAGACAATGCTTTTATGCAGTCAATGGCGTCAACGTCTTTAACCGGCAAAAGAGCGTGACCGATGGCGGTGAAGCCGAATTGACCGATACGCAGTGTGAAGCGATCATCGATGAAGCAGGAGTCGGAGCTGAGACAGCCGTGCGGTCGGCCAATGGTGCCGTGTAAATAACTCAGGCCCTAATCAATGACTGGTGGCTGATTAGTATCAAGGAAAACCATGGAAAGATCACTTTCGCAATGCAACATACCCTAGCCAGATCGCGCGCCATCGCCAGTTGAAAATCCTGGTCCAGTTTCATAACTTCCAGCAGCGTCACCAATGAGCCGCGTTTACAGTAATCCGACAGAAGGAATGCCCGATGCGGCAGAACAACAATTCCCAGCAGGGTATTGACATTCGCATGCTGTTAAACAAGGAAGCATCTCTTTGCAGTTTTGCTTTAATTTAAGTAACAAGAAGGCATGAGAAGGATTCGAGTGCACTAACCGTTGTGTCTGGTACCAGCTGCGACAATAGCGGCAGATTTGCTCGTCCTTGGACCTCCAGTGCCGTCAGCCAAACCGTCCTCCTTCTCCACGAGACCGGATTGGCCACTTCGGCTCCGCTCATGAGATTGCCGTCCAGCTCTTTCTCGCTAATTAGCCACCAGTAGCGCGAGCGAGAATTGCGACGAGCTCGTTTTCTGTTATGCACGGCAGCACTGATTGCAACGTATGTTGCACGTATCAAGATATGCTAGTGCGTAATAGCTTGTTGGTTTCTGAGCAGTATTTATGTATAATTAATGCCACACAATAAAACTCACCGAACACCAAATAATGCCCCACAGGAAGCAGCCAGCACCACCACTGCCACGCCCACGGCAACCGGAAGAGCGACGTTTAAAACAGATCCCGCCAAAACTGCAGTGTCAGCAGAAAATTACAGCGAATTAAGGATACAACGTGTATAATACATTTCATACCGCCATTCCGACAAGGTCCTTCCAATCCAGAGAAGCCACACAGCGGAACGTCCAGCGGTGGAGTGCCGGTAGGCCAGTCAATCACCGACGTGTTCTTCAGCTCGAAGGTGCCATTGACAGAACGATACACTGCAAATACCTGTACGCAAACCAACCAAGCTTCATTTTTTAATGTAACTATACGCACGTTAAAGCCAGTTACGCTCATATTTCTTGTCTTTGAGTCGAACATCCAGATGTCCACGTCCATGGTGGACAATCCATTGCCATCAACTTGAACTTCGGTGAGTGACAGTTTGACGGTGCGGTTGTAGAAAAGCGAAGCCAGGTGGTGGCCGTCGCAAAATGCAGCGCGTTGCGCACTCGTCATGTCACGGTATTTGTCCATATTGTCGGAGAAAACGCGGCTGATCAGTTCAAAGGAAGTGTAGGCCATGCGCGTCGCGTAATTGCTCAACGGCTGAAAAGGCCGTGCATTTAATTTCCCTTCGCTCTGTTTATTGTCCACTTCCGATGCACATATGAAAGCACCGGAAAAGGGTGCACATCCCGCGTTACCTGGGATCCTGACTCATAGGTGGTATTGTAAAGCTCATAGGCCAATTGACGCAGTTCACCGTTCAGTTGGCGCTCGTCATCAGTGCCATCGGATTCGTGAACGGTGAGGTAGATTAAATTCCACGTTAGGTTGAACATCTACCACAAGGCACAATCAGGCCTTTTGCAGCGTTTACGGCTTTCTATGCAGTGCAGCTTCCCATTTACACATGCAAGTAATAATACTTGAGTATGACACGTCGTTAAAATTGTACTGCTGAATATTCTTATAAAACCAATTCTGCAGTTCATATACGAAATACTGGAGAAAAATTTGCTAGTATTTTTTCTGACCAGCGGCGTTGGATTGTTGAAGAGAGAAGCTTTTCCATAATAATCGTTCTGCACGGACTGCACATTGAAAAATACCTGCAAGATGAACGGGGAACGGTCAACGTCACTGTATTCGGCCGCACAGCAACCACAAAAAAGGCAATTTAATCAGCAATAAACGCACGTATTCCCCGTTTGTCATTCCGAGCTGACTGGCTAAATCCTACAAGAAAGTAGATAATAATACAATAAAATTAAGAAACGATTAATATTCTTCTACTTGTAAAGTTTAAGGCTGCGGAAAACTACGAGTAACGTTACAACGGATGTAGCGTCATGAAACGCTACAGCTGAAAATGTGGCTGATCTGAATTAATTGTACATAATGAAAACCATGTGGGTTAATTTATGTCTCCATACCATTATCTGATAGGCCGCCGACCCGGAGGCGCACAGGATGAAGACTACAATCAGAAAAAAGCAATTTGCCCGAACCAAAGAAAGAGATGAGCTCCAGCTCCTGTAATCAATATTGTTATAATTATTATTAACCGACCGAAGCGAAGGTCCTCTATGTTAAAAAAACCGGAATTTTGTCGGTCACGTCGGTCATGTCGGTCACGCATCAAAAAAGTTTTAATAAAAGATGGAAGAACACCCAGAAATATGAAACAAAAAAGAAAATATATCTTGCGAATAAACTAACGTGTTTTTCAAACAGTTGTAAGAAAGCTCAGCAAACATTTTACTAAACTCGGTTTCCCGCTTCGCTTCGTCTTTTAGTGCCATCCAGTAGCGGTGCGCTCTAGTTGTTTAAGCGGAAGCGACATAGAGTTTTATAAAAAATAAATGCTGACGTACCGCGGCTGTTCTCCGTCGCGCGCAATAATCCCTCTATAACTGAGGCGTTGTCATTGGCCTGGAAAGGATAGGTGGCAATGGTAGCGTTGCTGTTGGCGCGGCCATCCTGGAGCGCCAAAGCCTTGGCGGCGCTAAGGATGCTGGAGTAGAGAATGGTGGTGGCGCGCGTGTCCAGGAAGAACGCCACGTGCGACCAGCCCCAGTAATTAAGGATTCCCCATAAAGTGCGCGCCAGACCCACTTCCGTTCCCGCCAGATTTAACATGTGGGAGTCAGTCGGCAAAGGGGGAAGGGAGGCTTGCGTTGCAATGCCACTAAATGAAACCACATTTAGCTAGTGATGCGCCTCAGGGAGAAACTGCCGACGCTGTGTCCGAACAAAAAAAAAGATGACTTACCTGTTGAAAAAGAAGGCATTCCATTCTGCGGGGCAAAGAAATCAAGGATGTACAGTACTATATGAAAACTGTATTTAGTTATCAAGGCTAAGGGAGAACTGACTTACCGTCCGATAAGCATAACAGCTGGAAGTAGTCCACGCACGCTGCACAAAACAATCGGTAAGATAGAAAGCGTTTAGCACGATCTCGGATCAGCGATTCGTTAGCGTTAGCTTACTGTTAGTGAAGTAGATATCGCACGTGTCCGGCGTGTGCTGGTCCAGGTTGTGCCGGTAGTAGTAATCGGTGAAGAATGGAATCCCTGCAGCGCCCACCGTCCGACAGGTCTGGTTGTACATGGCCTCCACGGGCCGCACCACAAAGCGTAACCCTCGTTCAGCATATTTCTCGTTGGCGCGCTGTAGGGCCAACTGCATCGCGGCGCCCACCCACACCAGCCCTATCGACACGCTGGGATCCATAATCTGCGCACTGACCACGCGTACCTCCAGCACCGCGGCGGCTCCATCATCTTGACCGTTGACTGGCCAACTGTGCAGCAATAAGCACAGAGAAACCCAGCAACCGCTGTGACAGCGCATTTCTCTACTCGAAAGCGGAAACTAAATGAAGACAGGAGAGGTTGCTCTCCGGAGCATTGCCCAAGGGAATCTGTGTCACAGCCAGCGGCAGGCGGCATTCATGTTGCATTTCGCTGCCGGTTGTGAAAATGGGGATAATTTGTTTCTAGGAGCATCATGCACAAAAGCGTATATCCGTTTAATGAGCTTTACCGATAATCTACTGCCACCCACGTCCGATCAACCGGAAAATACTGCGCCAGCTACTGCGACAAGAATGGCGCTCCCTCAACGTATTCGCACTAATTCTACATCCGTACAAGAGGTGTTGTGACATTATTGTGAGAATCTACAAAAGGAATGCGTGCGGGTTGTTTATAGTCAGCTCAAGCTGTAGTGAAGTCAAACGCTGATCCGCGCACTGGTTTATCTTTGTATGTAGTAATGCGCATTAATAGTGAGTCGGCGATGTCCGCCTGGGGAAGCAACCGGGCGCCGTAAAACGCATTTAATCAAGGAAGCAGACAGAAATTCGTTAGACACACGCTCTGTCTGACTCTGTACTTTTGATTAAAAGCGGTGCCCGTTTTACGGTTTACGGCGGATATCGCCGACTCACTAAACGTGAGTGATATCAGAGTGACGCTGCCGGTTGGTGGAGGCTGTGAAAAGTGCAATTTAGTGCAAATTGCAATCAAGTTGCAATAACCTCTGTCTACGAATTACGAACGCGTCATTTTCCTGCAAAACAATCAGGCAAGGAATCTCAAATCACTACGCAGCGGCGCAGCCTACTCCCACCCCCCTTTTTGTTGGGATATTGCTTAAATACTTTAATATGTTTTATGGACAGTAAAATTAATAAGCCTGTTATCGCAGTGTAAGCACTAAGCAGCGGTGAAAATCTTTTAGTGATGACATTTACAGTCTGTAAAATTCAAATTTAAAATTGCAACAAATTCAAAAATTAATTGCTAATTTGCTACTGAATTGCAGTTTATACAACTACTCGTAGAGTAACGTCTGGCTTCTGCCGCCTGGGTGGCTCACTGCTTGACTGCAGGCCACCTCCGTTAGGCGGCGATGTCACTGGTAATTTATTGCTTCAACAAACGATTAATGATCATTAATGATTAATCAGACAATTTTATTATGGCACTCGTAGTTGTGGACTTGTGGATAGATGGGAGATTCATCCAAATGCTTTCTTGAATCCCTCATCTTTTTTCTTGAATAATCAAACGAAAGATTTCTACCTCGTGTGTGTTTACGAATAAGCGTTTTGTATAAGTCTTAGCATCTTGTTGGTAAAGTTTCCACATTTTCTTTCTCAGTCCCCTCCACCATGTCAGAGAATCCATCTCTTCCTGCGCAGTCCTCCGCATGGCGAAGCACCCTTTCTGGGATGGTTGATCTTCTGCAGCATATTATGGCTAGCGGGGAGATGAGCGATGTGCAGTTTGCCGTCGGACGACAGCATGGGGAACCCAAAATCTTCACTGCTCACAAGCAAGTCCGCGCCCCAATGAAAGCTGGAAAAGCATGCTAATCAATGTTCCAATGTAGGTTGATACTCTCCATGGGTAGTGATGTGTTTTATGCGATGTTCTACGGGGATTTGGCTGCGATTGGGGACAGGCCCGTTGATATCCCGGAGATTGTGCCAGATGCCTTCGCCAATATGCTCAAGTGAGTGTGTGCTTATAGACAGTTTCGTGGGCGTGGGGATGTGTATTTTCTATGGCTTCTTGGTTTAGGTTTCTGTATACGCGTTCGTTGGGCGAACTAACGCCCGAGAATGTCTTGGAGACCATCTACTGTGCTGATAAGTACAATCTCCCGTTTCTACTGGAACTCTGCTTACAATTCGTCAACACCCAGCTGAAACCTGCCAACTGCCTAATCTTTCTGGAAAAGGTGGGTTAATTTCATTGGAGCAGCGGGAAAGGATTTACGTCATAAAATCGTAGTAAAATTCAAGAAGAAAGCGCTCCACTGCCTCGTACGGATGAACCGAACGCATTTTGTTCTGAGCAGGCAAAACATTCGTTGCTGGACTGCGCGGCTGGCTTGGTAGAGAGGTGCCTGGCGTTGATCGACACACACAGTCAAGATGTTTTGAAGTCGGAACGGTTCAGTTCTATCGAACAGGATACTTTGGAAATGATTGTACAACGCAACAACTTGACCGCTGAAGAAAACGTCATCTACACGGCCGTGGAGAAGTGGGTTTCCCCGATTTTTTTTTCACCGTTACATCTGTAGCTGTTGCACTCTAAGCTCTTGTGTACGACTTTTTGATATATTTGTACTTACTTCCGTATAATCATTACAGTCGTAGCCAGACACTGCTGCTACAAATTATTTTATGCGGTATCGTATACGATTGTAGATGGTCGGTGAATGCCTGTGTGCGAGGCAATCTGGAGCCGTCGCCGATCAACCGCCGTGGGGTGCTGGGATCGGCGCTGTTCTGCGTCCGTTTCCCGCTGCTAACCGATGCGCAAATGGCCAGCGGACCCGTGAAAGTACGTTTATAAATAAAAATAATAATGTTTGTAATGTCCTCTGTAGCAAGGCAATGCCTCCTTTAAGCTAATGACATGGAACTTTAAAGCAGATGGCAGTTTGATATGAATACCAAATTGATGTGCATGCACGAAAACTTTCACTTTGGTGCACTCTCAAACATTTTTTTGCTTTGTTTTATGACATTCTGTAGTCAGATGAATCGTTTACATTGGCGTGGAAACCGTTTGTGCGCGCAACAGTTTGGGACTTATGGCTGTAAAAAATTGTACTTAGTGTACCGAAAAGTTTCATTATACAATAAACCGATCAAATTTTCGTCATAGATTTGTCTTTGGATTTAAATTTTGGTCATAGCACGATTGGCACCTGATTACGAAGACCGTTTTTACGCCAAACCGTTTTTGCACCACCATTTTCATATTTAAAAATGAAATTTAAAACTTCATTCATCTAAAATTTGAAACAAAAACTAGAGCGTTCGGTGGTTCGATCTTCGTGCCTAAGTGCGTCTACATTGCAAAAACTAAAGGAGATCGGTCCATAATGAGACTTTTGGTCTCCCAAGATCATTTTGGTCTTCAGGGCACTCTCTGCTCTTAGTTCGCTCAACGAGCACGTATTTTACGAATTTGGTACCATGTACGAGGTGATTTCTCTTAATCAACGTAGGCAAATAAACATACAAAATCTGGGTAGTCCGTTTTCTTCAGAGTGGTTTGCTGCTGGATGCAGAGCTGCGGGATATTTACCAGTTCAGTGAGTTCACGTATTCCGACAATGAACGGGAGATCCCCTTTCCTACGGAAGCTCGTCAATCCTACCATGCTGAACTACAGGAGCATGACGAAGTGTTCGCGGACTTTGGTTCTGATGAAGAGTATTGGCGCCCCGGGAAGATTATGGGTATCATCGAGGAAGGAAAAAACATTATTGTTACGCTGGATGAAGGAGTAACCGCCAAGCTATGTGTGCGCAGTCGGATTGTTCGGGCTGTGGATATCCTGAAAAACGGGCAGAAGATCAAGATCAGGCGTTCGGGTAGGGAAGTCTCGTACATTGGCCGTTGCGTGGAAAACGAGCACATGGTTTCCTATGAGCTATCGAACCATCGTCGTCTCACGCTTTCCCATCCGTTTATTGAATTGGCGATTAGCCGCGCCCAAATGGCGGCTTGGAAAACGTCCATTACCATTACCCAGTCGATACCCAGAACCTGAAGCGTTCCGCTAGTACAACTAGCAAGTGGCGTTTATTACACCCAGGCTTACTCTTACACAACCAGCATACACCCAGGCTTACTCTTCTCGTGTACCACATAATTAAGCTTCTGGGGCTAACGTTCGTAACTTCTTGCAGGCGCAGAACCGAATTTTTTTAGCTTTTTAGCTTTTGCGCTGGCTGTTTCTCCTAGTTTTTTCGTCTCCTGGAATAAATCCTTTACTTGTTTGTGTAAATCAATATTTTTTAGTAATTAGGCTTTTTCCACGTGCGCTTTTACTACTTTATGCGGCCCCATCATACGATAATTTTGCAAAACGGGAAATCAAACATATGCATTTGCGCTCCTAATTAAGACCAGTCCTGTAGCGACTACGCGAGCAGCAACGAATTCTAGACGACAGCGCAGAGCGGAACTTACGAAGCAGATTAGTTTTGCTGTTGCGAATAATATCGCGTGGTTATATCTCTTTTGCCAGATCTGTGCATTGATTATAATTATAAATAAAGCCTACGGCGACCTGGCAAACGGTTATATAACTGTAACACTATAAACGGGTGTCGTCATTATTCGTTAGGTACGTCGTATGTTATTGATGCTAAACCAGGGTGACCTATTTGGTGCAAATCTGACAGATGGATTGTTTAACGTTGCAGAAGGTTTCTCCACAAAATTTGGGGCATTCACGGTTACCTAAGTAATTACAATCACCAGAAACGTGCTGGCATCGCATCTTGTAGCAACAAAAAGAGCAATTTCTTGAAATTCCTGCATCGAACTTCCACGTATAAGTAGTTTGTTAGATGGAAAACATACAGAAAACACAAAGACATAAATTAAACTAGGAAGCGCTGGGTGAAGATACGAGTAGCAAACATGGTTTCTCGCATTGGCTTGAAGAATTCAACTGTCATTTAACATATGCGGGTATTGCTTGCTACTGGTCGTTAACAGCCTTCCAGGCCGTTATCTGGTCACGACTAATACGAAGCTCCTGGAATTCTACGCCTTGAACGAGCTGTCCCGGTACGCAGGGAACGTATCGAATCGTGTGTCGGCCACCTTGAGAAGAAACATACGTAACAAGGCACGAATCAAGTCCTTGGCAAAGTATCGGCTGGCCATTTTTCAGGATATCCGCGGCTCGTACCACATTGTCCGGTGTGGTTATACTAATCAGTCCGCGGCGTAGCATGACGGTAATGCCAGATTCCGTAATGTCCACAACCGCACCCGGACACCAATTCTGATTATCGATATAAACAAAAACTCGCTCCGAGAGCCGAAAACTGAAGAATAATCCCTTTCGTGGCTCAACAGGAAAGGGCAGCGGCGGTTTCGGTATGGCATGTTTATACTGATACAGCGCCACGATTTCACTTTCAAGCAGCAGGCCAGTCTGAAAAGGCAGAGGCATGCGCTTTAAACCCGTATGGAAATTTTCAATAATATGATACGTAATAACTAGTCAATACTAAATACTCATAATAATTAGTTTTTCTAGTTAAAATTAGTTGGCATAATAATTAGGCATGATTATGGACTAACTTTGACGGGGCCGTTGGCCAGCTGAGAATCCGTGAGCAGCGGAAATCGGATATGAAAAACTGCGGTGCCGAGCATTTTGCGCCGGTTGATGCTGGATGGATCCAATTTATTTTTCTGGCATGCTTCTACAGCCCATCTGCAACCACAATGGCATTATTACAGTAGCTATATCTTTTACAATAAGCGGCCTCCACTTTCATAGGGAGGAAAATAAAGCATATCATCCATGCCAAGCGAGCTAAGTGCGAGAATGTAAATGTACCTTTCCACAGCCGTATAAATGGTGTGTTCATCCGCCAGCAACGTGTCACGTTGTAAAATCATATCCAACGTGTCCTCACCGATTGCAGCAAACTCGTCCGACTGGAAAATGGTTGTGGCGGAAGCATCCACCATTGCCAGGCACTTCTCCACAAAGGCACCCGTAGCAGCATTATGCATAAAACGGCTAATCTGTTCGTAACGGAAGGGAGGTAACCGCTATCCGTCGTTACAGTCAATTGAACACAATTGTGGCAGGTCAGAAACTCACGTTTTCCAGAAACATCAAGCAGTTGTCAATTTTCAGTTGGCTGCGGGCGAATTTCAGACACGCTTCCAGCGACATCGGCAAGTTGTACTTGTCGGCGCAGTAAATAGTTTGGAAAAGATTTTCTGGCTGGAGGTGCCGCTCGGCTGAACCAGTGTACATGTATCTGGAAAAGAAAAACAGTTCTCTGACGCATTTTGTCCAAGTATATTTGAAGAAAAATCATCCAGCACGTATAATCAAAATAACAAATAAGTTGATTTACCTAGTTGAATACATAAAAATAATAAATTAAAAGATTGCGCAGCGTGTACGTACTGGAGCATAACAGCGAATGCCTCTGGCAGTACCTCAGGAATTTTGATAGGCTCTGTAGCGCTTTCTGCTAGTTCCCCATTGAACATTGCATCAAAAACGTCACTGTTCAGGCTGAGGATAAATCTAGAAGATCAGTGTGCACTACGAGGCGTGTTTACGTAGGGGAGCCGTTTCAACGTGACTTACTTGTGAGCGGGAAAGACTCTCACCGCCCCGTGCTCGTGTCCGACTGCAAATTTCACATCGCTCATCTGTCCATTGGCCAACACTTGCTGCAGCAGATTGCTAATCCCAGGGCTTGTGCATCGCCAGTCGCTGGCCCCGGAGGCTGTGCAGTGGGCAGACATCACATAAAGTCAGTTAAATTAACCCTGAATAACAGCTGAAAAATAGCAGTTTTAGTAGCTGGCCAGTGACCTTTGCTATACACTGGGCTCGGATACTTTTGTTCTCTGGTTTCAATAGCGTAAATCTGTGCTACAGCAGATAATCAGCCGATCGGTCCGATCCACAACGACGTTTCAGGTTTCAGAGTGTGCGTTTAAATAATCATACATGTAGAACCGCATTCCAGCGCGCACGCATCCAAAATTGATTCCCACCATAACTTCTCTTGTTAATGCTTGCCAGCATTCCATCGAGGCTATCGTTTTACTTCACATGAACAGCCAGATTGGTCATGGTTGGTTATCAGCATGATACGCAGCTGCATGGCCGTCTGCTTTTTTGTAATCCATAATTGCCGATGCGGCAAACAATATCTGTACAGTCGGCGAACGGCTGGCATGCCAGAAGGTTAACTAATTCAATACCGAAGCTGCGGTTTAAAGTTTACAACTGCAGAGGATACTAAAAGCACATAATCGACAAGCAGTTAACACAGAGGAATGCAGAGTTGCAAACACGACAATGCCGCTTCTTGACCGATCTAGTATCGAGACAATTACAGCGTGGATATTATTGCTTCTTGAAAAAAGTGAGTTTCGAAGTTCAGAATCCATTTATTCAGCAAGTAAGAAACACATAACAACGTAAACAACTTTATTTTATCAGGCAAAGGTCAGCTGCAAGGCCGAAAACAACTCCAGACATCCCGCTTGAGTGTTGACTAACGGTTTGCAGTTTTCCAATCCGCCATTTGCGAGCGACTAACACGCAAATCCATGAAGTTTACTTCAACCTGTCTGCCACTACCTCCAATGCGGACCATGTGGTTGTCATTTTAAAAGCCTTCATATCTCACAGTGATAGGCACAGCTCAGATGTTTCATGGTTTATGCGACGGAAGCTACAGAGAATCGGCTGGCCACGCTTAGGAAATTTGAGGCCCGCACCAGCTGATTCGATTGATATAAGCTAACCGCGTGTCCTTTTAATTTGACAAGGAAACCGTATGACGGTTTTTCTACAATCTCTCCGGCATGCCAGAAGAGAAGTAGTAGAACCAGCGGTTTGATGGTAGTACACATAGCGGGCTCTCCTATTGGTCGGTTTAGCCTAAGTACCGCCCCCTATAGTCTAGGGTATACAAATAGCGGAATATGGTCTGTACACTGTACTGTATATACAAATAGCGTACAAATCAGCCTGATCTGATGGTGTGTACGAATAGCGTACAGTCCATGTACTGTGTACAATAGCGTATTGGTCGGTTTAGCCTGAGTACCGCCCCCTATAGTCTAGGGTATACGAATAGCGGATTATGGTCTGTACACTGTACTGTATATGCAAATCAGTCTGGACTGATAGTGTGTACGAATGGCGTACAGATCGGTTTAACCTGTATGCCGCCTATAATATACTGTGTACGAATAGCGTATTAGCCTGTACACTGTCTATGATTAGCCCCTTTCTTTTGTTTGATTTTCCCCACCCTCTTTTTTTTTTGTTTTATTCAGTCAGAAATCAGCAAAGCAGCATCCACTGATCTGGATAGTCAATATAGTAAATCGAAATTGCAGAAGTCAGTATTAAACATCAGTGCTACACGGACAACAAGACACAACAGATTTTTCGTATTTCTTTTGAGTTTCTTCAATGAATGCCGCTCCTTTCGTCTCCGTAAGGTACGGGCATTTTGGATACCATCGGGCATGTTCTTCCCAAGGTACATCAGTTGCTTCCCAATTGTGAATTTGGCCGCCGCAGTGAAAACAACGAACGCAATCACCATTTCCTTCGTAATAGAATCCAGCGTGTGCCATGTCTCGTGGATGTTGCTGCTTGCTTACAGGCCATTCGGCATAACTGGCAAAACGTGTCTTGTAATCTTGCATTTCTGGCGCAGCGAAAAGCAAATCATGTTGTGAACCGAAGTCATCCTCACCAGCAGCCAGTGCTTGTGAGTTAGGGCAATCCGGACGCTCAAACAGATGCCGATAGAAAGGCTTATACCGAGAATTGGGCCAATCGCCCATAACATGGCCGCAATACACACAGTGAATTTCGTCGTACACGCCCTTGTAAAGAATCCATCAAACGCCAGTCGTGCTATGGAATACTCAGTACATGGCCAGTTGACAAAGCTGTTGCAGCGGTTATCTACGTCTGACATATCCATTTTCAAGAAGTGTTTTACCGATTATCTGCCATAGCCGTTCCTAGATGGATAGAGGAAGCAAATGCAGGCAGACATCTGTCATCTTGTTTAACTGGCCGCTTCCACGATCTGTATGATTGTGAATACAGACAACTTGATTTGGCGATCTTGTTGTCTGAACTCAACTGACGGAGTATACATGGAAGCTACAGGATTCAACTTGATCTCCAAATTTTTATTCAGTCTGTAGGTGTAATCAGATTCTTCTAGATCCGGAGTATACCATTCTGTTCGCACCATCCACTCTAAGAATTCCAAGTCACGCTTGGTCAAAGTTATTCCGGTTCGTTTAGCTTCCGAGTAACCGTGCTCATCCACCGATGGCACATCTTTTGCCAAAACCATTTTGCCTGCGGTATAATGCCAAAAAACAAATGTTTTGCCATTTCCAAAGCGATAAGTCCTAATCCCCTCATAGCCGGGGTAGCTAACTTCTACCAAATTTGACTCCATATTAACAATAGTGTTCTCGGCGTAAGTTTGTTTGTGTCTCCTTAATGCAAAAAGGGTTCCCAAAATAGCGACGATGTCAGCTTGTCTGTCAATTATTCTGACAAGCTAAGACCGTCACTAATTCGGGGCAGCGCCCTCTTTTTTTTTTTTTTTTTTTTTACAAAGTAACAATATCGGCTAATGTGGCACATAGTCCACGAAACTGAACAAGAGTTAGGTCCAAAGGCACATTCCCAGCACTACTGATGCGCACGCAGTCTGTCTGCGAACAGCGTGGTCTAAAGCGGATCCGAACAGATTTTCCTGTGGCATCCCTGATCCGATAACACTGAGTTTTTCGTGTGGTGATGGCGCGATTCCACAGTCGAAGAAATGAGTCGTCTTCATGCATTTCTATCATGCGTTTAACAACGGTATCATTATACTCGCCGATGTTTCGTACAAGACTCCAACTGGATATGTGTGTAACCAGTGAAGCGATAATAAGATGCTGATCTAATGGTCTGAAACCGACACGTATACTGTCGCTTAACCAAAACCATAATACATCGTCAGCGCTGCAGCAAAACGGCAAAGAAGAATCGTCATTCCCATCAGACTCCATGATTGCTGCTGAAGACAGAAAATGTTGTAAATGACTATTTCTTGCTAGTCTTCCTTGATATCGACGCGTACGCAAAAACAGCTATACATCTGACATTGAAAACTTATATGCTTTCTCCCATTAAGTTCTGACAAGCGTGCTTACCATTACTGATCAACCAGAGTCATTAGAGTTGCGCAAAGGATTCGAAACTCCAACACAGAAAGTTCCAAAGGTCCACCATCGGTTGGGCGTATAATGCAGATCTGTGCTTGCTCTTTCACCGCACGTCCATTCACTTTGATGAAAATTTCTTTGCGCACGCCATCCACGATCACGCAAACTACAGGCTGCCATTTAAGAATGGACTTTCTCAACGCCTGGATCATTTCACCGCTTAACTCCATTCTGATAAATTTACGAGCCACACGAACGTCATATTCCTCCATGCTCTCTATACACTGCTCACACCCAGCACTAGTCTCATCATCTGCAGGACCGCCAGGACTGACACGCACAAGTATAAACGACTTGCTAGCTACACGCCATTCCATACGAAGAGTGTCGCTGAAGCGAAAATACTTTACGCCGTTCTCCTCTTTGCGAACAGACATGGCGTCTACAGGCATTCTCAGTGTTCTAGAATGGAAAAGGAACAGGCTGTTCAAAAAAAAAGACAGAATGCAGCCGTTGTAATGTACAAGGCAGTTTACAGTTTGACTTCTGACCTTCTTACCTTCGTGGATTTGCACAGTCTCATCAGCTTTACTTCTGCCACTTGTCTAAACAGTCAGTGGTCCGTAACCAGTTATTCTGTATATTTGTTTTCCACCCAGCATGCTAGTCACGTTATGGAAGATTTTGTTGAACATGGCCTCGGGAATCATGATGGGATCGCTGGGCAGCTGTGATGTCATCTTAATTTGAACGTACACTTCCAGTGTCCACAAAATGAGACACAATGTGGAAATAATACAGTAGAAGATGAAATCCTTTTTATCCATTATAGCTTGTTGATTTATTGGTATCCGTTAGCATCATAGTGTTCAGGAACGCTTCTGTCACGTCTTTTGACGCTTTAATATCAATTTCCGTAATGTTTCTGTTTCCTTAATGGATTGATAGATTTGCAGGAATAGAAACTGATGAGAAGGCCAAACATGACCACCCAGAACAAGGTGGCCACGACCTGCTTTTGTTAATTTGCGATAAGTCCATTTATAAAGTTGCGGTCTTTTACTCGTGTTCGCATACTGAAAAACTTGTTAATGAACTTGCATACGAACACATCGTTCACTCCTTTATGCTTGGTTAGTGCTGACATGACATCCTTGTATGAGTATCCGTAGCAACGTAGCGTAACAAAGAACATGCAGTACTGACCGCAGACTGTGCTGTCTACACTTTGCCGCTCCGTGTTAGATACAATGAGAAAGTCGTCACCCATCCAATTCTTGATGTGCTGTGAGTATACGGCCGGATTTTTACCGTACGAATCGAAGGCTTCTAGTATGCCTGGTGATACACAGTAAAATGCCACCCAGTGCTCGCCGCGATTGCCGTCTACCTCTGTGTTGACAATGTAAGCACCAGGAAATTCTTTGTCCGGTAGTGTGTTTGCAGAATACACTCCCACAAAAATATCTCGGATTTTTGGGTCCTTCTGTAATGCGGCTTGGATTTGCAGGTTGTTCATGGTGCAAAATCAAAGATAACCTGACGGTTGTTGTTAATTTCGATCACGTTATCGAACACCAACATGGCTACACACACCGCATTTTCTTCTAAACCTTTGGCGAATTTCATATGTATATTCAAATTCCCATGGCGGGACAGGGACATTGCCCCTCGTCC